GGAGCTTCTGACACATCTGGGGGTTATATAACTCTTTATTACAATCCTTTACTTCCTTTAATCATACTTGCTTTCTCTCTCACTTAATGTTAGAAATGAAACGTGTGTGGTGGACGAAACGGTGGTAAAGGGGTGCTCGATGCTCAGTGCAGTCCAGGAAGACGTCTGTGAAGAGGCTGAGAACACTGAGTTCTTCAAACGTCCCAAGAGGGCCCAGAGTACCGGAGTGTGCACTTTCACGAGTCTATCACCTCTCCCCCTCGCCTGCTACTGCCATCACCTCTCCTCTGGCTACTGCAATCTGGCCTCTGAGCTTTCTTCCACTGTCCCACTATAACTTTAGGGTCTGGAATGAGACCGCACCATACCCTGAAAGTCCTCTTCGACGTGGCCTGCTTGCTCACTGGGGCATCGCTGGCCATCCCTTCCCCAACCTTGCTCACTCACATGCAAGCTCGTCCTCTTTCAGGTCCTGAGCTAACGGTCCCTCTGCCTCTTCTGTCTTCCTACCCTTGACAGAGTTGGCGTCATTTTGCATCTGGTCTCTGCTCACATATCATCTCCTCAGAAGGCTTCCTTACAGTGTATATGAAGTAGCTCTCACCTATCCTACACCCGATCTTCTTAATTATTTCTCTAATTTTATATGTTTTTCAGCCTTTATTATTACTGTTCATTACCTAAAATTATTATCTGTTTTTTAATTTACTTTTTATTAAATCTAGGCCTCTCCTGGCAAGGTACGATGTCTTTTTCTTTTACTAATTGAATTCCCAAACACCAAAAATAGGCCTGGCATAAGCATCCGACAGACACTGGTTGAAGGATATAAACATGCTCTTTCCCAGAGCTCTAGGTTGTTGACGGAGGGGTTCAGGAGCGGCACAAGAGTGGCAGATCAAGGCCAGGGCGGCTTCCCAGTTGCCCATGAGAGTGGAGATCTCACAATAAAGCCACTTCCATCCATCACCTACGCAGCCTTGACTCTATGAGCCAGCTTGGCAGTACTTACATCTGCCTGGAAAAGAATGCCTAAAAGGAGTGTAGAAGGTAGCACTTAGAAAAAAAAATAAAAGAGGAAGAACGAATGAAATGAAACTCAGTACATTGAGTATTCTTTCCATTGATAAATTCCAAAAATTAGCTAGAGAATAAGGATCAATTATCTCCACTCTTAAACAATTATACTTAGTAATTCTGAAGAAAAAAATAAGCTGGCATAGTGGTGTGTGTCATCCAATTACTTGGGGGCTGTGTGGAAACACTTGAGCCAAGATTTCGGGCAGCCTGGAAATATAGCGAACCCGTCTCTAAAAAAGAAACAAACAGGGAGATGAATGAACTGCTATGTAATTTTAAATACTTGTTTAGATCACAAAGTTATGATTTAAACGTATCCAGGATTCTTTTATAACTGAAGAAATGGAGCTAGAAGTTTCATTCTAAAAAAAAAAATAGGCCACGTATGGTGGTCATGCCTATAATCCTAGCACTCTGAGAGGCCAAGGTGGAGGAGTGCTTGAGCTCAGAATCAAGTCCAGGCCTCAGCAAGAGTGAGACCATCTCTACTAAATGAAAAATTAACCGGATATGTTAGCACACACTTGTAGTTCCCAGTTACTTGGGAGGAGGCAGGAAGACTGCTTAAGGCCAGAATATGAGGCTACCGTTAGCTACCATGACAGCCATGCTCTCTACCAGATGACAGAGCAAAACTCTATCAAAAATATATAAATAATAAAATAAAATAAAATAAAAGATACTTAGTTTAAAGTGATATTATTCAAGAGTCAATGTCCTATAAATTCAGAACCCTATAAGTTTTAAGTCAATTTTCTCTAGAATTCAGTGGCTACTCCTTTGATTTTTCAACTACAACAAACATGCCTCCATAGATATTGATTATTTCAGAGTTTGACTCTGCCTTTCCTCTTCCTAATTACTGACTTTCCCTTGAGCATCAAAACATTGAGCCTATTTAATGTTAAGCAAAAGAGAAACCAAAATGTCCCAAAACCCTGGAATGACCCCAACTTTTTTGCAATAATCTTAATCACAGTCCTTCCCTCCAATTCGATTAATATCTCAACAGCTTAGAATCCTAAAGATGTACAGTGGTAATCAAATTCCAATACAGCAAGATTACCTCTCATATGCTTTTTAAAGATCCTATCTGTGATATACATGATATGTTTGGAAAAGAGGTTAGAACACCAAGGCATATCTACCGCTCCTACTGAAAACTCGAATCTAGCACTGTTTCAAACAGTGTTTCATCCATACGTCAATGATAAGATAAGTGATGTTCTGAGTATCGATCTCTCTCCCTATTTTCCAAAAATATGTCACATTTTAGATAAATAAAGGTGAGTGGATATTTAAAAATCCATTCAAGAAAATCCATTCAAAAAAAATGAGGTTATGAGAACAGTTGACATTTTTTATCACTGGGCAGAGTCACAGTCCTTGATCTACTTTTTCTCTTTTAACTGTACCCCTTGATGTGTTTTTATAATTGAAAATGATAGAGAAAATCGCTACAGTCCGATGCTTAGCCAGATTATAGATATTGATTTTAGCAAATCGTACATATTTAAAGGTACGTTTTTAACTTACACTTGTAAAAGACATACTTTCAGAATTTCCTTCGAAATTAAAAACTAAGTTAAGGCCTTGCCAAACAACTGAGTAACTCTCCTTCCTCTCCCAGCTCATGTTACCTCAGCTAGGGTAGGTATGGTAAAGTATAAGAGACAGAAGACGTCTTCGCTGGTCCCATCTTCCTGTAGATGACTGGATGTCCTTCTATCAGGAATTTTCTCTCTAGGCATTGTAACCTGGGCTTCATACCCATTATTCAACCGATACTGGGTCCCAAAGTCATCAAAGATGAATTACAAATCCTAAACGCCCTCTGCCAGCTCACCTGTTCTCACCAGTTGTGCAACTTTCTGCTTGGGATTCTTTTCCTTTCCAGAACTTCTTGCTTCCTGTGCTTCCAAGATGTCAGTCCCTAGTTCTTCTACCTCTTGAGCTTGTTTGGAGTGGAGGTAAAGTTAGGTTTTGTTTTTGGACAGCCCTTCTTTGTGTGTCTATGTCTACTGTACCCATGCTATTATTGGTCGACTTTGTTCTCTTTCCTTCTCACTCACTGTGTCTTGCAGGTGATCTCATTCATTCTTTTCTACTAAATGAGGAAGATTTAAATCTCTACTATTTAAACCTAACTTCTCTGGGGCTCTGGTATCACTATTTCCAACTTCCCATTGGAGTTCATACTGATATCAACAGATACTCAAATTTAACCACTAGGAAAAAATAAATTACCTTTATCTGTTATTCTATATTCCTATCACAAATAATGGTGCACATCCTTTCAGCCCCAAGCTAGGATCCTTTACTTGATTTATTTCTCATCAACACTATGCAAAGCTCAGTTTATTACTCTCCTTTAAAGGCCTTCGGCATCTCCTCTCCTCTCCACACTCTCCATCACTGTAACTTAAGCCTTCATGTGGGCCACTGCAGTCCCAGCTGGTTCCAGTCCTCTCTGATGCCGCCCACAGGTGTTTTTTAAAAATCATGTCATCACTTGGACAAAATTCTTTCATGATTACCCACTTCCATAAATCCAACTACGTGATGGTTGGCTACAAGGTTCTCATCTACCTGCTACTCCTTCCCTTCCCATCTTTCCATAGAAACATATTCCCAGCCAAATGAAATTCTGTGGACTCCTAGACCACACCCCACTTCTTCACAATGTTTATTGCCTTTGTAATGCCACTTCTTTTGCATGGCATGATGTCCTGCCTCATGATCCGCTTTCTTTTAGAATTCTCAATCTAAATCCTTAGTGAGCCTCTTCAGCGGACCTAGTTGCAATCATCTCTTTTCCTCTATTTCTCATTGTGTCTTTCCACACTTGTAACTACTGATTTTCTCTCTCTCTCCTCTTCTCACTTCTCTAAAGGAATCCTTGAAAATTGGGAGCTTACAGCATCTTTAGCAAATGGTACATTATTAGCACTCAATACATACTGGTTTTTTTTGTTTTTTTAAAAAAACGGTAGGCCAGGCGCGGTGGCTCATGCCTGTAATCCTAGCACTCTGGGAGGCCAAGGCCGGGAGATTGTTCAGGTCAGGAGGTTCGAAACCAGCCTATGCAAGAGCCAAGACCGCGCTCTACTCAAAAAAAACAGAAATAGAAATTAATTGGCCATAAAATATGGTAGAAACAATTAGGCCAGGCATGGTGCGTGATGCCTGTAGTCCGCACTTGGGAAGCTATGGGCGAGTAGGATTGCGTTTAGCCCCAGGTAGTTTGAGGTTACTTGTGAGGTAGCGCTGACACCATGCACTCGATCTAGCTGGGCAACAAAGTGAGACTCGTTTTAAAAAAAGAAAAAACGGTAATCAATTGATACATTGCCCTAGCTGAAGAATACTTTCATACAAATTAAGCCACATTACAAAACTCACCCACGAAACAGGACCACACTTTTCACCCTCAACAAACCAAACGTCACGCGGGATAAACATGACTTAAACCTAAGTATGAAGACTATTAGAACTTAGAGGAAAAGTTGCAAACACTCTCCCTAAGCATCGGCTGGGCAAATGGTTTAGAAGAAGTCCCCAAAGCCAATCACAGCAGCAACAAAATAAATACAAGGACTGATCAAACTACAACACGCTTCTTTGCACAGCCATAAGAAAACAGGTTATGAAAGTAAACAGACAAACTACAGAGATGGGAGAAAATTTTTGCATCCTATGCATGTCGATAAGGGATGATAACTATGAATATTTACTTTAGCACTCACGAAAATCAGGAAGAAAAATCAAAACGCCCATTAAAATGCAGACCAGATGTGGCACAAGGACTTAAGGCAGAAAACTTTTCTAAAGAAGACAGAAGGAATGGCAACTAAACATATGAAAAAATGCTCAACATTCTTCCTGAATCAATCAGGGAAAATGCATAATCAAACCACAAGGAGAGCTGAGGCGCTGTGGTCACGCCTGTAATCCAGCTCCTTTTGGGAGGGCGAGGAGCGGATTTGCTCAAGGTCAGACGTTCGAACCAGCCAGAGCAAGAGCGAGCCACGTCTACTATATAATAGAACAGAATTATTGGCCCTAGACTATTATATATAAAAAATTAGTCGGGCTGTTGGCGCATGCCTGTAGTCCCAGTACCCGGGAGGTGAGGCAGAAGGACACTCCAAGCCCAGGAGTTTGAGGTTGCTGTGACAGTAGGCCTGACGCCACGGCATCACTCTAGCCTGGCAACAAAGCGAGACTCTGTCTCAAAAAAAAAAAAAAACAACCACAGATGAGTTATCACTGTAACCCCATGAGAAGGCTTTAAAAAATCTCCAAAAATAAATGCTCGGCGTGGTTGCGACTGAGAAGAGGAACAACCACACTGCTGGTGGGACTGCAGAACTAGTTAACCTCTGTGGAAGCAATATGGAGATATCTTAAGCGATACAAGTGATTTACCATTTGATCCAGCAATCCCATTGCTGGGCATCTAACAAAAGATCCAATGGACACTCTACAAAAAAGACACCTGCACTGAATGTTTTTTTTTTTTTTTTTGTTTCCTCCCTGCACTCGAATGTTTATAGCGCACAATTCATAATTGCGAAGGCTGGGGAAACAGCCAAGTGTCCATCAATCCAAGAATGGATTATAAAATGTGGATATGTATGCCATGGAGTACTATTCAGCTCTAAGAAACAATGGTGACATAGCATCATCTATATTTTCCTGGTTAGAGCTGGAACATACTATTAAGTGAAGTTTCCCGAAGAATGAAAAACAAGCACCACAAGTTACTGTTGGTATTGACTGAACAACACCTAAGTGGTCACGATAGGTATAAGTCAGATAGGGGTAGTTGGGCCGGAGAGGGGGCAGGGCGGGATTGGTATACTACGTAATGAGTGAGATTGAGCCATCTTAGGGATGGTCATCGGATGGAGACTCAGACTTGGGGGGGGAGGGGAATGGGGCATTTATTGAACCTCTAAAATCTGTACCTCGCATAATAGAACAAAAAAATAATAAATAAATAAAAACTCACCCCACAAAAGAGAGTAAAGTTGGTGAGTTGTAAAATTCAAAGTTGCCAGTGCTTACAGCTTTGAAAAATAAAAATGCCTGTATTTAAAACATTTATTGAATATAAATAGAGCCCACCCTAGACAAATCTGCCAAGTAGCAGAAGTTTCTCTTTTTCTCCATGGTGACCTGTCTGGGCAAGCTCCCAACTGGTCTACTACATGCTTCCCTGCAGATGGCACAGGCCTTCAGGTCTTCAAGGCCACTTGTCAAAAACACCAAAGTTTTTTTTTTTTTTTTTAAAGTAAGTAATTTATATATGATTACATTTAGAATACTAGAGTACAGATAATCCCTGATTCATGATGGTTCAATTTACAATTTTTCAACCTTACAATGGTGTGACAGTGACACACATTCAACAGAAATTGGGAGGACACTCTCTTATAACGCTGGGCAGTGCTATCACCACAGCTCCAGTTAGTCACAGGATCTTGGGGGTAAACAACCAATACTCTACAGCATACCGTGTTGCCAGATGATTATGACCAATGGTAGGTAAATATAAGTGTTCTGAGCACGTTTCATGTAGGCTAGGCTAAGCAATGATATTTAGGAGGTTAAATGTCTTAAAGGTGCTTTTGACTTATGATATTTTCAACTTAGATGGATTTAGAGGGATATAACTCCATCACAAGTTGAGGAGCATCAGTATTTACTGAGTCAGCCCTTTACATGTTAAGCTGCATGTTTCTAACTTTACAACAAAAGATTTTTTTCACTACTTAAAAGAATTATAAAGCACCAAAAAAACAGGCAGTTTCTTTCAAATAGAGAATCCTTTGAATCACAACAGGTCCCAGTATGGACTTGAGCTAGTTAAGGATGTTTTGTGAAGTGATTCAAAAGAGGCAACCTATGGTCTCTCCATCACACGCCCTGTGTCCCCTTTCCTGCCCCCATAAGTGGGCCTTCCACTCCTCCACGGGGAAGGGTTTGCCTGAAAACCTGCTTGTGATTTTTCTTTCAGTTTTGTGAGGGTCAGGGAAGCCTCTGTCCTGCTGTCATTAACTTAATCCAGGACTGGAATGTTTCTTCCCTTCAACCTTGATCTATTCTTCCCCTTCCTGAGCATAAATCAGCTCTCTTGTCAACTTTCCCAATTCACCTTCATCCGATCTGCACCTTCTAATTCCTTTGGCCTAAGAAATACATATTTTATATTTTTCTGCATTTTAATTACTCTTTAATAGTTTCATAGTATAACCTCTATCAAAAGCGAGAGAGTTTGTTCCAAGGAATACAGATATATAAAATCTAACTTCCATATGGAGATTCAAATATAATAGTGTTCAATAAGATAACATTAAAAACTTTGTAATTAGCTAAAGGATACAAACATTAAAAGGAAAAATAAAACCCTTCTCGTAATGAAGCATAAGCTTTATAAGGATTTACTGTAACTTTTAGCAGAGTCTAGCAGCTCAACAGGAAGACATCACTGAACCAGAGTGAGCTGACTCCTTCTCAGTCTCCACAGGCAGAATCAGCTCTTTCCTTTCACAAAGTCACATGACACTAATCACACTGCGTATCTGCACAGCTGTGTACATATCTTACTCTACTCCACTCAAACCTTAAAAGTTCCTTAAGAGCAGATATATGACATCCTCTTTTTTATGTGTCTCTTAATACCTAACAGAAAGCAAGTGCTCCTCGATAAAAATATACCAAGTCAATAAAATGGCACAGCCCAAAGCATTGTGGATAAAAGGCAACTCTCCCCAAAATGCTTCTACCTAAACTACCATGTGTAACTTTCATTCTGCTGATTCATACAGCAGTTCAGCTGTTGAACTGAGCACTGTTTTGGGATCATTCACAGTCACTAGGCAAAGGTGGAAAAGAGCATGCAGTTTGCAGTTCCTGAAAAGTACATTATGCTTCTCTTCTTTACCTTTTCAAATATTCCTTTTGTACAGTCACAACAAAATGAAAGAGCATATGGATATTCATCATGATGCATTTCTTTCTATATGTTTTCGGGCTTTCTAGGGAAGGTTTCAGGCAATTGCACAGCCATCACCATCCTAAGCTGGCTAATTCCGCATCCACCCAGCAAAAGGCAAAAGACAGGACTTGGATATGTGAACATTCAGTGATTCTTACCTACTACTACAAGCTAGTAACAGGCCAGATCATTCTGGCATTGTATGTTCCTTCATAAAGGTCTACTTGGGAAATAGGCCAAGTAACTTTAAGGATTCATTTTTCCAATGGAGAAAATGTAAACAAATATGGTACTCACAGAAAACAGATCAACAGATCAAAAGATATTTAATGTATTAGCTCCTGAATGATTCATGTCTATAAATAATTTGTCAACAAAGTTCTCTTTTTAAAGCATTCTACTTATCTAAAAGTTTGGAATTATCAAGAGATAGAGACAGAATAATACTGTAACACAGTGGCAACTTCTATACGTTCAGGTCCACACCTGCCTCCACTGTGATGCAGAGGGACTTGTCTCTAGAAGGAAAGTAAAATACAGGCCCTAGGGACACATTTGATTTTTGGCCTTTTCACAGCACATTGCTCCTGAAGGGTCTAACCAAAACAACCACAGGGAGAACCCAGTTCTGAGATTCACCTCATAATTTTCTCATTCTACACTGACACAGATGATACATTTTGTAAAATGAAATATCCACACATCATTTATTGTCCTGTTTGGTATGTGAGCTCTCAATGGTGAGCTCTCTGGAAGACAGGCTCTGTGGCCGTGAAAATCATTCAGTACAACACCCTGACTTTTGCAGCCAGATGCTTAATAAAAGCCTTTCTCATCAAGCTTGAAGTAACTCCTAGAAGCCTGAAATAAGTAATAATGAGACCTGAACTCTCACTGCAGTTACTGTAAACTACAAAGACAGAATAAAAAGAAAAGTTAATCTCTAACATTTTCACTTTTCAGTTCAAAGTTACATCAGGTTTTATGTAGGACACTGAAGTCACAGGTTTGATATTGCACATTGATTCACTTCAGCAGGGGCAAACCTTCTGCTCACAATTAGAGATGGCCATTCGTTACCAACAAGCTGCTCCCTAGACACATGCTCTATGTCAGAAGAAGGAACTAGGCTGGGCATGGTGGCTCACACCTGTAATCCTAACACTCTGGGAGGCCGAGGCAGGCGGTTGCTCAAGGCCGGGAATTCAAAACCAGCCTGAACAAGAGCGAGACCCCGTCTCTACTAAAAATAGAAAGAAATTAATTGTCCAACTAAAAATATATATCAAGAAAAAAAATTAGCCAGGCATGGTGGTGCATGCCTATAGTCCCAGCTACTCGGGAGGCTGAGGCAGAAGGATTGCTTGAGCCCAGGAGTTTGAGGTTGCTGTGAGCTAGGCTGATGCCATGGCACTCTAGTTTGGGCAACAGAGTGAGATTCTGACACCAAAAAAAAAAAAAAAAGAAAGAAGAAGAAGAAGAAGAGGGAACCAGACAGCCTTTGCAGAGTTTAGGGCAAACCTATCCCTACTACTAGAAAAACACCTGCCAAACCCTCTTCATCATTACTGTGCATAAGTATATGATTGAAATCCAACTAATTTCACTCTGTGAAATCCTAGCCCTGATGAATGGCTGCAAACAGGTGATTTCCCAAGAACAGTCTGTATGTAGAACCAATTAGTAAGCTAAATGGAAATAAACTCACCCGTAGGAGTGTATTTCTTATTATTTTTCAAGGATGAAAACATGTATTGCCGCAAGTCTTCCATGAAAGGCAGCTGCACATATACCAAACACTAATGAAAAAGAAGGGGTAGAAGCAGAAACAACCAAATTAATGAAAAAACATAAAACTCATTCCAAATGCTATGAAACTGGCACAATAGATTTCAAAAATCAGCTCAAATCTGATACGTGAAAACTGAAGTGTTTTGACTTTTGCCATTAGCTGTTCAAAACTGCAAATGGTATGAAGAACATTAAACATAAAAGAAATGCTTCGGGCCGGGCGCCGTGGCTCACGCCTGTAATCCTAGCTCTCTGGGAGGCCGAGGCGGGCGGATTGCTCAAGGTCAGGAGTTCGAAACAGCCTGAGCAAAGTGAGAACCGTCTCTACTATAAACAGAAAGAATTAATTGGCCAATAATATATAAGAAATTAGCGGCATGGTGGTGCATGCCTGTAGTCCCAGCTACTCGGGAGGCTGAGGCAGGAGGATTGCTTGAGCCCAGGAGTTTGAGGTTGCTGTGAGCTAGGCTGACGCCACGGCACTCACTCTAGCCTGAGTAACAAAGTGAGACCCTGTATCAAAAAAAAAAAAAAAAAAAAAGAAATGCTTCGAAGAAAGACTACCAAAGGATAACTATGAAACGCACATCCAACACAACAATTGAGAAGATTGGGGTGATCGGAAGACTGATCTGAAAGTCAAGACATTTTGCTTTCTCTTTCTAGTTCTGCCATAGTAAGTTCTGAGAAAGAGGAAATGATAAGGAATTTGTACTTTAAATAGGATACCCCTAAATAGACTGAATTTCACAAGGATCACAACAAAATCACATCGTCAACCTTTATTCATAGTCCCTGTTAGTAAAAATGGAAGTAATTTCTTTTCCCATTTGGTTCTGAGAAGTCAAGAAGGATGAGAAGCGAAAAAAGGTCATGGTTAACCTTGCCTGAATCAATTTAATAAAAAGCTCTCTATGATTTATGTTCTTTCCTCACAGCTAGAAGTCTGGTTCACGGACCAGCAGCCTCGGCACTGCTTGGGGAAAATGCAGAATCTGGGCCCACTCCAGATCTACGGTATCAGAACCTCCATTTTAACAAGATCCCCAAGTTCATTCCCACACACGTTACCAGTCAAGAAGCACTGCCTGTGATAAAGGGACTGAAGGAAAAAAAAAAAAATCAATAAAAAAGACGCATGGGTTTTACCTCATAGGCCTCCTTGATATAAGGAAAAGCCACACCAACTTGAGGATTCGCTCTTTTGTCATAAGCATATCGAACGATGGCCACCATGTCTAATTCATCCAAAGCATGAATCAGGGAGGAAAGTGCAACTGCTGCTGCCTAGTAGGAAAGAGGGATGCAATGTATGAACACATACTCAACACGGGAGAATTTTCATAACAAAACTAAATACGTATCATGTTACTCACTTTCTTTCCATTACTCATTTTTTTCTAAAGTGTCCCTTTACCTATTTCAAGACCAAACTATATACATTTGCTTTTTTAAATGCTTTTCTTACTTTGTTAAATTTTACTAATATTCTTTAAGGGAAAAACACACAGTCAAGTAGGCTACAGTGAAGAAATATTATCTTTATGAGAGAGTTAAGAAACCACTAAGACACTTTCGGGTTTTATCTTCAGTGATGCTTCTGATCTTTATTCTGGGACTCCAGGTAATATTCAGCCCCTACGCTACCACAAATGCAGCAAATACCCACCAGAATCCCTAAAAGGATTAAAAATAATGCACCAACAAAGGAAACATTGGTTACAGACCACCCATGTATCTCAAAGTTTCACTGTGGCCCATGGAGCCCTTAGCCTTTGTGCAACCAGCTTTCTTGTGGACAGTTTCTAATGGTGTCCCTTCTATCTTCCACTGTTGATAATCTGGAAGTTCCATTTTACTATGTCCATATCCATGGGCCATGTCTGCTGGCAATCTGACCTCTCAGGACACTCAACCCTCCAACTGGAGCCAACTGGAAACAGAGGTTTACATTTGCTTTTGATATTTACTGTACTTCGTCTGGGACTTACCTTCTTTAACTAAATCCTCTCTGTCTTATTGCTTCAACCTTCCTTCTCCTCTGATTTCACACCCTTGCCCTATAAATAAACTCACCGTCCTAAATATCTCAGCCTCCTAAACAAAATCTTTGTCGCTCTCTCTCCATAAATTGCTATCTGTATCTTTCCTTTTCTTCACCCCTAAATATCATGAAATAATAGTCTTGCTGTTTCCACTGCTTGGAGCGCAATTATTCTTCAATCTCATCCAGCTACTGCCCCCACTTCCTTACTGAAATTATCCTCTGAAGTCACCCACAACCTCCTAATTGCCAACTCCTTGGTTCCTATCATATTTGTTTGACAGTAGCATCTGACCACCCTCTTTTCTCCCTCCACATCTTCTTTGGCTTTAGAAACAACATTCTCCCCTGATTATTCTACTTGTGGGCCACTCCTCCTCAAGCTCTTCTATTCTCCCAACTGATTTTAAATTCTACTTTTGGCCTTTCTCTCCTCCTCTCTCTCTCCAACTCTACTTGTGGATTATTTCGCCCAGTTCCATGAGTTGAAGAATCAAAAATCTATATATTCGGCTTTAAAACTCTCCTAAGATCCAGACTTAGATTGACTACTGGTTGGCAGGTATCTCATATGGTAACTCACATGGCATCTTCAGGTATCTCAAACTGTCTATGCCGAAAACTAAACTATCTTTTCCCCTCATTGTCCTCCTGGATTTATTTCTATTAACACCATCACACAGTCAATCAAACCAGAAGCCCCAGGATCTTTGATAATGCTACCTTTCTCATACTTCATCTTCAAGTGTTCACCAAACTCTACCAATTCTATCTTTATGCTGTCTCTCTTCCATCACTGCCTCTCCTGTTCACAGAGCTGAGATCATGCCACTCCCTTCCATAAAAACCCAGGGTTTCCTCTACTCCAGCCTTACTGAGCTGATCATTGACTGGTGGCAGGTCTTGTACTTTCCCTCCCCTCTAGCTTTTGCTGTGATACCATTTTCTCCTAGCAATAATGCCTCCTCCAAATCCCCAACTTTCTAGTTTCCAATTCTTTTTCAAGGTTCAGTAAATCGACACCTTCTCCATTTCAGATTAACCTCAGTCAGCTCTTTCCCTCTGCAGAACTCCCCTAACACTGTGTACTTTTCTCAGTACCACAGCTAACCTGCATCAAAATTAGCTACGTATATTCTCATTTCTTCCAGTAAAAACCTATGACCTCAATTCCTTGCCACCAAAATCCTCTGAGATTTCACAATAGAATCATTTTACCTTTTCAGTTCAGTTCAAAGACTATTTACACATTCTTTGCTAGCCACTGTCTTAGGCCCTGTGAGAAAACAAAAATGAGTCCTTGACCTTACCAAACTAATTCATTCTTTACTAGTGGAAATGAGATATGTAGCAAATACAGAAAGTGTATGTTCTAATAATAGGTCCCATCAGAGAGGACTAGATAAGCAAAACGGGAGTCTGAAGAAGAGATTATTTCTCCATTTGTTTGGAAGTCTTTATTTGTGTGTCTTTGACAGGACCAATGAGGATATTTAAAGGAAGAAAGGATGGGGTCATGATGACTGCTACATTATAACACATTACTACCCTTGTGTATAACTCAACTAAAGCTTCATTTCCTTCATTTTCTCTTCTCCCCTTCTCTTCCACACACAGTGCAAATCCGCATACAAAAGTATAGATTGTCTATATAAAAAATAATTATATGCTAATGACCAGAGAAAACATTCTCAAAAGGAATTATTCACAGAATCACAGAACATTTGAGTTAAAAAGAACAGCATTCATCTAGTTTAACAACCCACATGTACATCTGACTAATTGGTAATATAAAGACTCTGCTTAGAAACTTACAGAGGATCTGACCATCTTACAAGAAAATAATCCAATTGAAGACAGTAATTCTTATTGACAAAATAATTCCTCAACCTGTTAACCACAACCTGTTAGTTCCAGTTCATCCCCTGATACGAAGCATAGTTTAATTTCTATGCCACACAATAAACCTCTAGATGTATGAGGAGTTATGTCTGTCATCTCTCCTGCTCCCTTGCCTACCCACACAAGTCTTCTTCATGTATTTTTTTACTGGAAGTCCTCATATGACATAGTTCCCTTATTCTCTGCTGATCTCAAAAGCTCCAATTACGTAACGTCAATTTTTGACCATGACATCAAAGACTGACACAAAGGGTAGCCCTTTGCCATTAGTAGATGAAAATGTTTTTCTTGAGTGACCTCAAAGTGACCCTATAATATATAGAAATTACTGTCTGTATGAGCCTGGATTTGAATTACATAATTCCCAAGACTGCCATTAGCTAATAAGTCTAGATAACCACCAAACACAGCATTGTGATATGATATTTCTCACTGTGTACCCAGCATTCTTATAAAGTAACCAGAATTTTCTTTGTGTAAAGGGACAATAAGTGGGAGTTAAAACTTTAGCAGAAGTTTAAAATGCAGCTAAGTTGTTTGACAGTATATACCAGCTCCACGTGATTCCCAACAGGCTTTGCTTCAGGAGAAAGCCATGAACTAGGATTCTAAAATCCATAGATCTCATTGTGCTCTAATGAATCCATTCAGTACACAGTAGAAGCCGAGCATTTTCTTCTCCTAATTTTAACTGTTCTGATAGAATATTGGCATGCCTATCTACTATATCTGTAGCCAGTTACCTTTCAGAAATGAGAAGAAAAAGAAGACTACCCCACTTACATCACCACCTGACCCCCACCCCAAAGAGGCTCTCTACATCCAGTTTACTAGTTCCAAGTACAAAAACTTCAGGAACTTGGAAATCTGCTTAAGCTGCCTTAAACGGATACTAGATTGCAATCTCCCAGTTAAGATTAACATCTTCAAGGAGGAAGTAAGTTCTGACTTAGAGGTCAAATAGAAAATATTTACAAAAAGGATAGGTGTGAGTATAAAATGCAGCTGTCATGGGTTGATAGCCAGGTGGAAACCAGCCCGGAAACAGATTATCCTGGCGAGGTGGGAAAAGAATACAGAGAGAGAGATGGGGAGAAGACAATTTCCTCAGTGATGGAAGCAGTAGTCGTCCATCATCGAAGCACAACTCTAGGGTGCTTATGTCAGCACTAAACATTCAATGTTCATGAAAATCAAAACGTCAACCTGACCCCAACCCTCGTTAACATTTGACCATGAAATTCCCGCACCTAAATGCAGTTATTCAAACTGTTTTTAATACTTATTTTGTTGGTCTCCATATCCTCAGGTCATGTGCTCATGCTAACACAAATTCATTTATCATTTCTCCATTTTCACAGTTTAACTGTGATTTTCAGTGAGTTTTTCCACTGCTGTTGTAAGAATTCATGTCATTTTAAACTACAGAAGCCCCAAACAACTCACTTTCATAAAATAACAACTCAATTCTGTAGCACTACCTTAAAGACACGCTGCCAACTCACCTCATCATTTTTTGCTGCAAAGACCTTTAGAACTTGATTTCCCATAAAGAATTTTCTCTGGACCTACAAAAGCAAGAGAGGAAAAAAAAAGTGGTTTTGAGCCAAAATAAGTAACATATATAACCATAATGCCACACATTACTAAAAAATTCTATTCAAAATGTTCTTACTGAAAAACACCCAAAGATACTAGAAACAAATTATTACTTGAGGTTCAATTCAATTTAATATAACAAATATCTGAGCACATGTATCCAACATTGTCTGGGTACTATAAACACAACAGAGAACAGGATATAGTATTGTCCTTGTGGTGCTTAGATAAATATGAAATCAAAGGCAGTGCTGTATCATGGTCTGGGGTTATGTAGTGCTACAACACATAAGAAGGGCACCAAGCTCAGTCATGAGGGGTCAGGGGATAGGTCTTTTCTGCCTGTCTGTACTTAGGCAGACCCACTTTTCAATAGGTCAGTTTCTACAAACTGGTCTGAATGAGAGTTCTGCTTTACTGAGAAGACTCATAAGCATTGCCATAATAATCATAAATTTTAAGTTTATAATCTTCCCAAAGTGAATAATTTTATTTCTAAGAAAAGTATATTTAGTGGAACTTGTTAGAGAATTGTTTGGGACTCTCAACTTCCAAAAAGTAGTTATTCTCACCATTAAAAATCCTACAGACTTTAAGTAAATACTGCCAATTTTCTGCATATGAGTCTTGAAGATATATATAAAAGTTTGGGCATATCATGAAAAACATCCTCCCCAGCCTCACTGAATTACTCTAACACTGAAGTATGCAGGGAATATATGCTCGAGCAATATAAAGAAGTTCAAATCCAGAATACTGGGTAATATTTATTTTCATTATAATGAAATTCTCATTGAGTTTTTCTAGAACCAATAAAAATCTCTTCATCCCTATAGAGCTTAGATAAAACACATATAAAAATATAATTTATAATTATTAATTATGTTTCATCTGTTTGGCTGTCTATTGCAAGAACATTTAATCTAAGATTTCTGAGACTCTTCTAACAACTTTTTTAAGGATAGTACATGGTATCTGATGGTGAATGACTACATGTCTCATTGTGTCTTTTTTGAGTATCTTTGCATTAGTGTCTAAAAAACATATAACCTACGGACAAGTTTCACATCTTAGAGCTCTACATTAGTCATTAAGAAGAAAGGTCATGACTGACATAAATCAATGATATTCTAAGATTTAATGGTCATTCAAAACCCAGACAGACCTTTAATCCTAAAATACTCCGTTTTACATAACAGCTCAGAGAATGCAATACAATAGCAAAGAACTGGATGCTGTTTCTTTAAGGCTACTACGAGCTAGAATGGCCAGCAGAGCTAAGAAGTGACTTAATTGAATCTGTTCTTCAGACTTATGCTAAGACTTCTCTATATCTCAGTTTTTCTCCTCAAAAATCAAAGATGGAAACACTAATCTCCAGACTACTTTTAGAAAAGCTAAAAGTGAAGTAAATATATATTGTAAATGACTAATCATTTCAAGTAACAGCTAGGAAAAAGCTCAGTTATTTCGTTCACAATTGTACCTGAGAAGATCTACAAAATCCCAAAACAGAGAAGCACTTCCCCTCCGATTTATATTTCATTTGTTCCTCATCCACTTTAGAGAAAGGAACTATATCACTTCCATAGCGGAACCCTAGAGAACAAGAGAAGAGCATCTGTTAAGCATATGGGGCCTCATTTTCTACAAGCTGAAATTAGCTCTATGCATACATTAACAATACATGCACACTCTAGAGCAAGCTCCGTCTTCTACTCCACTCCCTGCAATCGAATTACTGGCCCTTGTGATCAATGAAGAAAAAGCAGCAACAGATACACAAAACACATATACAATATAGAGATGATTAAAATCTAATTACATTTTTAAAGTAGCATCTTCTGTAATCTAGTTACCTTGATGATTATCCAGCCTAGAAGAAAAAATGTAGCAAATGCAATGTACTAGTTATTCCCCAAAGAGAAACCATGGTTGACTAAAGTACAGCATGATTTGTAAACATAATAACAAGAACACATTTATTCGGAAACTTGGAGACCCATAGAGAAAAACGCCCATAGGAAATTTTCAGAACAAAATGTTCTTCAAAATGCATGCTGGAGATATACAAATGCCTAACAGAAGAAGCTAAAATTTTCCTGTTTAGAAACATTCAATTGATAAGTTGTATGTTTTTCTACATTTAAATTTATTTTATTTCTGGGATTTGATTGTAAATTTTTTTCTTTTTAATTACTTAGGATATTTATATAAACATGGGCTCTTGGCTCCTTAAAAAGAAAAAAACCCACAAAATTCTAACCCTGTTCCATGTCCTCTACTTTATGGCAGATCATCTCCTTCCAATATAGAATATCTTATATATTTAGTGGAAAAAAGAAGTATCAAAATCCAAGGATTCTAGTCTTTGGTAAAAGCAAAGGAAAAAAGCATCTTTACTCCAAGAAACAAAAAATTTGTATGTTTGCAAGTAGATGTTATGATTCAGTTTTTATTTATTCCAGTTAGTCTGTTGATACCACATATTTAATTTTTTTAAAAAACCTTATTTGTGCTCTATATATGTCTTTTTCAAAAAGCTGGTGATGAAAACAGAAATTCCAACAAAAAATTAACAGGCAATGTATGGCACATGATTAAGAGTGGTATCTAAACCAAATGTTTTTCCTCATTTTTTTCTGTCAGCAGTCATTTTCTTACTTGAATTTTTAATAGTAACTTGGAAGTTCTAATTTTAACTGTTTTCTGAAAATACCAACATTATTTTTCACAGATCTAGAAAAAATAATTCTACACTTTATATGGAACCAGAGAAGACCCCATATAGCAAAAGCAACCTTAAGCAAAAAGAACAAATTGGGAGGTATCAATTTACCAGACTTCAAGCTACACTGTAAGGCTACAGTAATTAAAACAGCATGGTACCGGCACAAGAACAGAGGCATAGACCAATGGAACAGAACCGAGAACCCAAATATCAAACCATCCTCATATAGCCATCTAATCTTTGACAAAGCAGACAAAAACATACACTGGGGAAAAGAATCCTTATTCGATAAATGGTACTGGGAAAATTGGATAGCCACATGTAGAAGACTGAAACAGGATCTATATCTCTCCACCTCTCACAAAAATCAACTCACAGTGGGTAACAGACTTAAACCTAAGGCATTAAACTGTAAGAATTTTAGAAGAAAATGTTGGGAAAACTCTTATAGACATTGACCTAGGGAAAGAATTTATGAAGAAGACCCCAAAGGCAATCACAGCAACAAAAGAAAACATAAATCGGACCCGATCAAATTAAAAAGCTTCTGCACAGCCAAGGAAATTATCACAAGAGCAAACAGACAACCTACAGAATGGGAGAAAATATTTGCATTCTACACATCTGATAAATGGCTGATAACTAGAATCTATATGGAACTCAGGAAAATCAGCAAGAAAAAATCAAACCCCATTAAAAAGTGGGCAAAGGGTCCACTTTTTATGTTTTCTTTTGTTGCTATGATTGCCTTTGGAATCTTTGGGAAAGAATTCATGAAGAAGACCCCCAAAGCAATCACCGCAGCAACAAAAATAAATAAATGGGATCTGATCAAACTAAAAAGCTTCTGCTCACCCAAAGAAACTATCATTAGAGCAAATAGACAACCTACAGAATGGGAGAAAATATCTGCTATCTACACTTCCACTAAAAGTCTGATAACATGAATCTATCTAGAACTCAAAAGACTTAACAAGAAAAAATCAAACAATCCCATCAAGAAATGGGCAACGGAAATGAACAGAAACTTTTCCAAAGAAGAGAGAATAATGGCCAGCAAACATATTAAAAAATGCTCAACATCTCTAATCATTAGAGAAATGCAAATCAAAACCACGATGAGGTATCATCTAACCCCAGTGAGATTGGCCCGTATCAAGAAATCCCAAAACAACAGATGCTGGCGAGGATGTGGAGAGATAGGAACACTCTTACACTGCTGGTGGGACTGCAAATTAGTGCAACCTTTGTGAAAAAGAATTTAGAGATATCTCAAACAGCTAAAAATAGAAATACCATTCGACCCAGAAATAGCATTATTAGGAATCTACCCAAAAGAACATAAGACATTCTATTATAAAGACATCTGCACCCAAATGTTTATGGCAGCACAATTCATTATTGCAAGGACGTGGAAACAACCCAAGTGCTCATCAATTCATGACTGGATTATTAAAATTTGGTATATGTTTACAATGGAATGTTACTCAATTCTAAGAAACAACAGCAAGCTAGCACCGCTTATATTATCCTAGATTAAGCTTAAGCCCATTATCCAAAGTGAGGTGACACAAGATCAGAAAAATGGGCTCCACATGTACTCGTCGTCACATTGGTACTGATCAATCAATATGGTGCTCAAAGGGTGGTGGTGTTCACAAGAGATTCGGGGGGTGCGAGGATAGACCCACATTTGCGGGATGTGGTGAACAGTGTGGAGGGGAAGGGCATACCTCTAATCTTTGCTAGGTAAAGGCAAGGTTATAAAATCTAAACAAAATGTTAAAAAAAAAAAAATTTATGTGGTGTTGGCCGGCAGGGGAGGGGATGAGTTTATATATATACATTACAAATGCAATGTGCATTGTTGGGGGGATGGACACGCTTGAAGCTCTGACTCAAGTGGAGAGGGAAGGCAATAGCAATGTAGGTAACCTTAACATTTGTACCCCCATACTATGCTGAAAAAAAAAAGGAAAAGAAAAAAAAAAGTGGGCAAAGGACATTAACAGAAACTTTTCAAAAGAAGACAGACTAATGGCCAACAAACATATCAAAAAATGCTTGACATCTCTAATCATCAGGGAAATGCAAATCAAAACCCCAATGAGATATCACTTAACTCCAGTGAGAATGGTTTTTACCAAAAAGTTCCAAAATAATAAATGTTGGCATGTATGCAGAGAGATAGAAACACTCCTACACTGCAGGTAGGACTGCAAACTAGTACAACCTCTGTGTAAAGTTGAAGATACCTCAAAAAGCTAAAAGTAGAACTACCATTTGATCCAGAAATCTCATTACTGGGCATCTACCCAAAGAAAAAAAAGACATTCTATAAAACAGACATCTCCACTTGGATGTTTATAGCAGCACAATTCACAATTACAAAGATATGGAAACAACCCAAGTGCCTGTAAATACATGAGTGGATTAATAAAATGCGGTATATATGTATACCATGGAGTTCTACTCAGCCACAAAAAACAATGGTGATCTAGCACCTCTTGTATTATCCTGGATATAGCTGGAGCCCACTCTACTAAGTGAAGTATCACAAGAATGGAAAAACAAGCACCACATGTACTCACCATCAAATTGGTATTAACTGATCAACACGTGCACACATAGTAGTAACATTCATCGGGTGTCAGACAGGTGGGAGGGGAAGGAGGGGATGGGTATGTTCACACCTAATGGTACGGTGCACACTGTCTGGGGGATGGACAATCTTGTAGCTCTGACTCAGGCAGGGCAAAGGCAATATATGTAACCTAAATATCGGTACCCCTGTAATATGCTGAAATTAAAAAAAAAATGAAAAATTGAAAAAAACCTGTTTTCTGGTTGATGTACTTAAAAGGCAAATAACTCTAACTTTTGTACATGACAAAAGATACAGAAGAGACTATACCATATAACCATATTCCTTCACCCACATGTTCCTCTGTGTAAGAAAGAGAACTCTACGTATTAGAGGATGGAGAGTGGAGGACAGGCAAAGAAAAGTATGTTGGCAACTGCAAAATGGTAAAGGAAAAAAGATGCACTTCTATACTCTTCTAACAAGCAATTTTTAACTATTCCCTCTCCATTGCCCCACCAATAAATTTTCTTTTTGCCTAAGATAATCAGAACTGTTTTCTTTTCTAACAACAAAAAGAAGTGGCACCCTCACCTCTAGACCCTTCTCCTTTCAATCCATCCTACAACCAGGTGTCATATTAATCTTCCTAAAACACAGTCCCTTTCAAAATTATGTGTAAAATCTTAGCCTATCATCCAAAGCCCTCATGTGTCAGTCTGAATTCAGAAGAGGACATAGACACTCAGACTCTGATTCAAGTCCTGCTAGCTTGAGCAGTGTGACTCCGAATATTTTAATGAATGTCTTTCAGACTCAGTTCCCTTATGTAAAATGGAAATAACAAGAATGCCTGTTTTACTAGGTTGCTGTTGATGATTAAAAGAGAAAGTGTAGGCTATTAGATATTAATACTATCTTTGAGTACTAACCTGCACATGCCCAATACACCAACCCAACTGAACTACTTAATGTCTCTGAGAAGGCCCTCTACTTTCTAGGTCTTGTGGCTTTACTCACACTATTCTTCCTACTATGAGCCAGTTATAATACTAGAATTTATAATTAACCAATGATGGAGCCTTGATTCTAACTCACGTGTGATTTCAAAATTCATATTCTATGCTACTCAATTGAATTTAAAAATTAGAAGAAATTGTAGGGTATTAATTATACTCTACACATAATCCATCAGGAGAAAGGAACCATAACTACCACCATCTTTAAGTTACCATCCCCCTCAACCCATGCAAATATACACAATGAGATACAGTGCTACAGATGAAAGGAATTTTTTTCAAGGCTTGCAAATCAAAATTATACTGGGTGATAAATTTATGTAGGACTCTAGTTTCTATCTCATTTGATATCTTATAATTTTAGCTCTTAAACATTCAGATATCCTCACCTAGTTTCTAAGTTATCTGAATAAAGATGCCATCTAGACACACTATTCATGCCAAATGGGCATAATATGTACTCTAAAGAGTATATATTAAAGAGTAATGTACTCTTTAGAGTACAACTCTAAAGATCCTATTGAATACAATAATGTAATATAACAAACAAATAATTTTTCTTAACCCCTAAATTAACTTAAGGTAGCATGATTGGTAGGATATAAAACCTGAAATTGGCACTTAAAATAATCACCGTGGAAGGAAAAAATAAAGTACAGTAAACAAAAAAACTTGTTTCAGCCATATTAATATAAGTATTACCCTAGTTAGTGAGTTTTAAACTTTAAAATAAAGACAAGTAGTAAGTCCTATCACTTAAGACATTTAAAACTCAGAGATGGAATACCCGAGTGCCCTCCTGGGAACCATCCTGCCTAAGACCCAACAGAAGAGACACCTGGTGTCTCATTATTCCCTCAAATAATTACATCTCTATAACTCAGAGAAATATCTCTAAATTAATAATAATATAAATCCTAGCTTGCCCCTTTTATAGCCCCTTGAAGAAAATCTCTTAGGCAAAAGTGAAAACTCTTACTGGCATACCTTGAATAGTATCCTCTTTAGGAACTTCAGTTTCATCATCATCATTTAAGCAATAAACTGTTTCTTTTTTTATATCTTCTTTTTTTAAGGTTCTTGCATCCACAACTGTCCAAGTCTTTTTAACTTTCTCTTGTAGCATCTTATATTACAAAAAATAAATAAAAGGAAAACATAAAAAGCTAAGATGCTAATTGACAGAAGATGAAAACCCAATATACTCTCTGGTTCACAAACAGAAATCCAGAACAATTACGCTAGCTACATTGTTTTGTTTGCTCTTACCTATTGTGAAAATCTTATTAATAGTTTATTTCACAATAGGATATACTGGATAACTCTCTCTACATTTCACTCCCCCCTCCAAAGTAATCCACAAATAAATTATGTTGATATTTATACATACAACTTTCTGTACAAAACCTCAGACTAATAAAAGGAGGCCTATTTTAGCACAGTTTTCCAGTATAAAAGAAAGGACAAGCAATATATCAATAGTCAAAAATCAACAAAGAAATTTGAAAAGGAGACAGAATAAAGAAGAAAAGGAAGTGACTGTATTCTCATTCCTAGGAATACTATCAATGGAAAGAAAGAGAAAGAGGAGGGAATCAAACTCTATTATAGATAGCTCTTTAAACGTCCTCTCCTGGCATGCCTTTTACATAAAAAGCTAAACAGAGATTAAATGAACAAGGAAGCAACTAGAAAAGCAGTAATTATGGTTCTGAATATCCCACACATGAATTGTCAGTTCCTTATATAAGCCTATTTATCTGCCTGGTAACATTACTTTTAAAAATGTGTACCTACCACTTACCGATTTATATGCCACTATCCTTATAGACAAATTGGAACCTATGGTCAGCTGGCAGGGCCAGGGCATGGAATACCTCCCAATTTTCTTGAAGACACACAGTTGCTTCAGACTTTCACTTAATAAAGAAAAATATAAAATGAAAACAACAATTGTAAAATGTTAACTTGTGCTTGATGATGCTTTTAGTTTTCTAGAATGAGAAGTGAGCTGTTGTTGATTATAAAAACAGGAATAGCAGGGGACGGCAGGAAAGTGACAACCACAAGTTGGGACAGAGCCAGAATACAAGTAAGTTGGCTTAGGAGGAAATAGAAGCTGAATCACTTTACTGACAGGTAGAAACAAACATCTCTATCTTCCCCTACTCAATCTTTTCTTTCAACTCCACCAGTATTCTTAACATTTTTTCAGGACCAAGGGCACCTTTGAGGATATGATAAAAGCACACTCACAAATGAAGTCTGCACACAATATAAAGGTTCACCAACTCCCTGAAAACCATGAACCTAAGGATAAGAACCCCTGCTCTAGGATATTAAAGGTTGGGCACCATCCTATAATATCACTGCTCACAACTCTGCAGTTCATTAGTTAATTCCAATTCTCTTAGGTAAAAGACATAATATGTTTTTACATATACACAATAGAGTTAAATAAAGATTTTCCAGGGGATAAAGGAATTTAGTAGTCCATATTTAGTCTTAAGGTAAAGCAGATACTCTACATTTCTTAGTGGTGGGAAAAGCTGGAGGGGGGTGAGGGGCACAAACACAATGTAGAGTGCTGCTGGCTCAGTTAAACAAAAGGGAAGATCAATTCTATTTTTATGTGGCACCTAATCAAACACAACAGAGAAGATTTTTAGAGACAGGTAGAATCTGTGGTATTCACCAAAATAAGGAAAAAGGAATAAGTGATTAAATGCACTTAAAGCATATAGTCCTGACTTCAGGGTGGAACTCCTGGGTAGAAATGAAAAACAGATCTAAATAGAGGTAAAGAGAATTCTCTTAACATTATCCACAGAGTTATAAACAGAGAGGCCTCAAGAGACTCGAATTTTCAGAAATAATTTACAATGAATAGTAGATATTTTACCAGACACCCGCTTCCAAAGCTATGGTAATACTCGGCTTTAGACTTGTTGGAGAATGAATAGGACTCAACTAGATCTAACCTATTTCATAGGACATTACTAGTCCAAGTACGAGTCAGGTCTAAAACCATCACAAGGTTTGGATTCTGTCCCAGACCGGTGTCTAATATGATATATAAGATCTTAGAACAAATGGATCAGTTCCACAAAAGAGCTGATTCACCCAAGCAGAAGTCAAGGTGTCTTCCTAAGATCTTCTATATGAAAATAAGCCTAGTCCAGTGCTGTCCAGTACAACTTTCTATGATGATGGAAATGTTCTATTTCTAACAATGCTGACCCACTAGGCACTTGAAAGGTGGCTAATATGACTAAGGGACTGAATTTTAAAATTTATTTAATTTTAATTAACTTGAATTTACATATCCATATGTGGCTAATGGCCACCGTGTTAGATGGCAAAGTTCTGGTCCACACCCTTATGGCAGACCTATGATCAAAGTAGTTTTAAGTTGCTAGGACAACGCACAGGTAGTAATTTATCTGCTTGCTATGCTAATAGAAAAAAAACCTTATAATTTGTATGGACCTATAATTTTTCTTTATGATATATGGTTAATATGTTATTTTAAGACATGCATTCTCAAATTTAAAAGAGAAAAAACTTAGAAACACACATTTGCACATATTATGACAAGAATACATATTATGCCAGGAAACTTCACAGGGATTCTTCATTGATTTCTTTGCCAACCTCTTAGGAAATTACAATTCCACTTCCAAAATTTCCATTTTCCTCTCATTTTCAAGGATGTTAGCATAATAGAATGTATTGTTTGTCAATTATAGCTCACCAGAAATATTTAAAAATTGTGGCTGTGAAAAAAATTAGAGTAGATATATACTGCAGCTCCTTAAAAAAAAGTCTAGTTGTTGAATCTTTGAGAACTTTGCCTAAACAGCCTGTATTTTGTGTTTTGACTGATAAACTGGAATTAATTCATCAACACCAAGCAGTATTATCCCTGAGAATTTCAACCCCCACAAGTAATACTGCTTGATAAAAGTATTCTATTGCCACTTTTGCCAAATCGGGCCCCTGAAACACAAAGTATTCTAGATGCTATTGATTGCTCTCAGCTTCTCTGCTCAAAATAAATGTATGTCCATTCCAACCAAGAATAAGACAGATAAAGAAGCTGGTCTCTCCTAGCTTCCTAATCTCTAACTAGATGGTTGAAAACAGCAATCTGCTTTATTATTATACAGTACTTCAAGGATTTCATTTTTCTTAAGTCATTTTGTCTTTACATAACCCATATGAAATAAGTAGGCTATGAATTCTTCCCATTTTATGTTTTTGTGAGTTTTTTTTCGCCAGATTAAACCATTTTGTGACCAAAAGTTAAAGAAAAAAATCACTATACTATAGTATGCGGCTTTCTAAAACCTAAATCAGAGGATAAGAGGATACTCACTCAGACCTGAGACCACTTTTTATAATTAAGAATATTTTTTGCAGGAGGTTGAGGCAGGAGAATGACTTGATGCCAGGAGTTCAGGGCTACAGTGCACAATGATCATGCCATTGCACTCCAACCTGGGCAACAAAGCTAGACCCTGCTTCAAAAAAAGAAATGGAATGTTTTTTGTAGATGTATGAAAAGGAAGGGCCCAAGAAATGTGCCCCAACCTTGGCATAAAGAAGAAATCTACTACTTCACCCTTTACAATCTGACTTGTTAAATCTCTCATGGTATCCATCTATTTCCAAACTTCAGTGACACAAGCCCTGGAAATAAATGAGAAACCATGTGCCAACCATACAAAAATTTAAAAAAGGGGATTAAGAGTAGGTATACCATTTCTTTAATAAAACTCAGAATATTTATTAAAGAAATGACTGCTAATTCAAGAGTGGCCCAGAAAAAGAAAAGTACATTAGGGAGACCTCTGATCAAGAGAGAAATTTATATGGGTATGAATGAAAGTTCTTATCAATGTTTTCACTTCTTACCTGAAGGAATAAATTTCATCCAGCCCATCTTCACCTTCTAAAGACATCATCACCTTTTTCACCATCCGAATACCTTCTTTTTGCTGCTCAGTAATTCCTTTTTGAGGCCAGGAGGGTCGATGGTGGTCCAAGGGCAAGCTACCTTCTCCTCTGTCCCCAGTTCCATCTTCCTTGGCAATCGGGAAAGGCAAGCTATCAGGTGAAGATCAGCAGTAATTAAAAAGAGGAGTTCTGAAGCCAAATAATAAAATCAGTTCCAATCCTATGACTGTCACTCACTAGCTATGAGAAAATAGGCATGTTGGTCTATCTCATCAAGCTTTAAATTTCTCATTTGTCAAATGACTTACCTACCTTAGCCAATATTCTTTCAGTTTCAAGTGACTGACAGCTCTCTGATTTGAAAAGGGAAAATTTATTGGCTGACATAACCAAATAATTGAAAGGGCAGGGTTGCACAAGGCCTTAGCAAGATTAGATCCAGGGTCTCCACTGCCACTAGGATTATCTGACTCTCTCACTCTCTCTACGTGTTTTACCTTCGTTTGCCTTTATGCTGCCTTCACTCTCTCAGACTGGCCTCTTCCACATTGCCTCTGCACATATTCTAGCTCTGCTATTATCTGAATGTGTCCCCCAGAATTCATATGCTGAAACTTAATCACCAATGTGACAGCATTAAGAAGTGCGGCCTTTAGGAGGTGATAGTCATGAGGGTGGAGAGTTCATGAATGGAGTTAGTGATCTTATAAAAGAGGTTGAAGGGAGCGCCTGCCCTTTTGCCATATTTGCCCTTCCAGCATGTCAGAACACAACGTTGACCCTTTTGTCATGTGAGGATGAGGATGCAGCAACAAGGCACCATCTTAGAAGCAGAGATCCCTCACCAGATACTGAATCTGCTGGCACTGTGATCTTGGATTTCTCAGACTCCAAAACTAGGAGAAATCAATTTTTTTTTTTGATAAATTTCCGTAAGTGGATGGTTATTTTTAAGGTGCTTTCTCTATCATTTTATTTGCTATACTTAAAACAGAGCTTTCTGTTTAAATCTTTCTGTGTATGCTTAGCATGACAGATTTGCATGCCCTGTATTACCTATTAGATAAAAATCTTCCAGAGAGCAAAGTATGGTACATAGCGTTTGCATCAGGTTATTGCTGTTTCCATAGTATCAACCAGGAAGGGACAAATGACAAAGAAATGAAGGTCAGGAAGTTACCCTGGAAAAAGAAGTTATGATAACAGTTCTTTCCACCATATATCAGATCAGAAATAAGTTTTCTCAGTGGCTACTAGAAGAAACTAAAAACTATGTCCAAGAAACAAGCCTGCTCAGAACACAGTGCTTCTTTGAGCTGCTAGTATTTCTTTAGTCCAACTAGAACAATCGATCATACACAGAATACACTAAACAATAAAACCATAAACTCTACTGTGTATGCTGGAGGAAGAAAGCATATTACTCAAGAAAAAATATAAGTCAAATAAAAAAATGGAAGGGCTATGTTCCCTCTTCTTTAAGCTTTTCTGTACTGCTCACACAAAAAAAGAGTAGCTCTTTCAAATGACATTGACAGAGGTGCACTATGCTTCAACCATGTAGAGGCATCCTGAGATTATGAACAGGGAACAGAAGCTGAGCTGGGCTTCTGAAGTACTTAGAAAACCTCAACTCTGTTAAGAAGTGTCACTTAAAAAGCACTTAATTTCTCTGAAGTACCATCTCAACAAGTACCAGTTAGATGGGTTATTCTGAACTATTTTCCTATAGTCCTACCGAAAGGAGATGTCCCTTGGTGGCCTTAAGAGATACATGCATGCGAGAGAGGTTCTTAATTCCCCATGGCAGGCATTTTAAAAAGCCAAAGGCACACCACTCTGAGCTAGAGGCTTCTTGGTATAGCTCTCACTTTGAAAAATGAACATCCCCAGGAGATTAATAATTCAATATCCTATACCATCACTCTGCTTTCACCAAAAATAGAACAAGAAAAAATAGGTTTCAAATGCAGCAGGAAGGATTAGTGTAGTGAAAAGAATTTGTTAGGGATATAAGATAGAAAAAGTAAATGCTGGAAGGGAAATTCAAGTGTTTTGTGAGAGGAGGAATTCTCTCCCTAACAAATTGTGAAATACACATTTTTTCCCTCTAAATTTGTTACCCTATCTCTAAAAACACATAAGCAAATTACATTTTATATATGTGTCTGCATCTTTTGTTTTGAAAAAAGTAAAATATAAACATTTTATGTTTAAAATGATTCCTGCCTACCCTAAAACATTACTGTTTGTAGGACACAGTTCTCTAGCACAGTTTTGTTTTGCTTTTCTTGTTGTTTTTGAAACAGGGTCTCACTCTGTTGCCCAGCCATGAGGGCAGTGTGTGATCATAGCTTGCTACAACCTTAAACTCCTGGGTCAAGTGATCCTCCTGCCTCACCCTCTTGAGCAGCTGGGACTACAGGGCGTACACCACCATGCCCAGCTAATTTTTCTTATTTTTGTAGAGATGGATCTTGCTATGTTCCTCTCCTGACCTCAAGTAATCCCCCTGCTTTGGCCTCCCAAAGTGCTGAGATTACAGGCGTGAGCCACTGCACCTGACCTCTAGCATTGTTGAAGAAAAGAAAGCATTAATCCAGTAGTTGTTTGGATAAAGTCTTCTATGTAGGAAGGAGATAAACTGAATATCCTCAAAAGATTCGCTATACTTGATCTTAGCCAAAAGGCCAAGAAGCAATAAAAAAATTCTTCTAACTCCTCAATTCTTTGGGTCCAAGAGTAGTGAACAAACAATGATCTGCTATTGAGCTCAATTTTCTCTGCATCACTGTGACTTTCATCTCTTTGTCACCAAAACTTAGAACAGTTCCTAGAATACAGAGAGTAATCAGTGAGTATTTGTGGAGTTGTTAGTCATCTGACAGAGTCCAACTCAGAGCAGAAAGAGAAGACTTCATGAACCAAGCCCTCTGTAAAGGAGTCCCACTTACTGCACTAGGAGATCACAGAATTTGTCTACATATGTTATTCTTAGGATCTTACAAGAATTGCAAGGAGATGCCAGATTTCTTCAAGTTATGAATTATAATATCCAGTTGATCTTTGCTGAATGGGCTGCTGAGGTCAGTGAATACTTCAATATGCCTCCTCTCAAATTTCTTTCCTCTAAAAGAAAGAGTTATCACATTAAGAAATCATTCTCCTGAATTATTTTCTATAAATTCAAATATATTTTGTCACTGAGTGGAGAGAGGCTAACAAATGAATCTAGAGACAGTTAATAAACATGATTACATCCTAGAAGTATATGTATTGCTGATAGTTAAATTCTTATTAAACACGTTATCAACCCTGGTATACCTTATACTTTGAATATCTTGGACTAAATTTCTTAGCATTATAGAAATATTATGTCCCTGAATTCCTAACTCTAACTCAGCTCAAAGATGTGGTCACAGTGATTAAAAAAGATCCCTTCCAGTCTCCACAAAGAAGAATGTAAACAAGGAAGTCTCTCAGTGTACTACAACTTTAGAGTACACTTAGTTGATACTCACTTTTCAAACACCTTGTTCTGATTCCATGAACAGCACTAGTGGTAGAATTTTGCAGAGCAGTTACAAAGATTGAGAAATGATATTATAAATTTAGGCCTGGGATTTTAGCACATATATTTTTCCTAACAGACAAAGGGTGGGGGGTGTAGTCAAAGACACACATTTTTAAGGCACAGTGATTTAACAATGAATTAGGAAGTTGGCTTGAGTCACTATGCATTTAATATCAACTACATATGAGTCATATCACTTAGCATTTTTAAAAATTCCTGGTAATTGGTTTAAGTCAAATAGGAAAGGAACTGAAATAAGCCAAAAATTTAGTTCTCCCAGAAAAATTCTTACCAAGTATTGCCCTTGCTCTTCTAAAACTTTAAAAAACAGAAGAGGTTGGACTGAACCATTGAATTCTATCAAATGTTTCTTTAGCCACATTAACAGGCTGCTTGATTTAATGAAGCACACAGGACACTGATACATCAACCCACACAATTTTTGTAGAAAGGTTCACATCCAACTCTTCAGTTGAGACACTTACACAGTTTCACGTTGAATCACATCCATGCACACAATCAGTGCATCCAGGACTCAGCTAGTTAAGGGCAGAGATATAACCAAACAGTCCCTTCTTCCCATGAACACGTAACTTTTTTCCAGCAAAGTCCACAGTGATGGAAATTGTTGAAAATGGACTATGTGATGACTTAAGTACTTGCCCAAGTGCCCTTCTTCCACAGTTTATTTCATTAACATAAATTCATGTTTGCTGTATATCAAAAAATACATCCTGACACAAGTAAAAAAAAAAGAAAATAAACAAGAGGCAATCTAACACATTTCATTCATTCAACCAAAAATTACGATGATATTTAACAGTATCTAGAACCCATTTCTGGTGATTATAGTCCATTCTTAAATATGAAGTGAGTCATAATGCAGCATTTGCAAGTCACTTCCAGCACAGCAGCACCTCCCAGTGATCAAGGACAGCACTCTTAATTGCTTAGAAAAATAACAAGAGAAACCCCTTAAACTTAGGGCACCCGTGGAAGAAATTGGAAATCTCACAGTTTGAATATCAATCTGATTTCTGGCATAAAACATCCTCTATCCAGAAAAGGGTAGAGAATGCTAATGCCCATACTCTCCTAAAAATATCTTTTCTCTGCCTCCTCTAACCAGCACCACCTCTGCATATAGTCAATACACATATATGCTTCCTAGTATCTTCCTCTTTTTGTGCCTCCCAACCTCTCAATGCCACTTATGCAGAGAAGAGACATGTGATGAAAGTGCCTGGAGCTCAGGCACCAAACCTGATTAATTTCTCATTAAATCCTAATACATATCACCTGCCCATCTTCAGAGCAAAATACACCCACATACTCAGAGATGAGACTCTGGGCATGTCTCACCAAACTGGAGAGATTAAAGGAATCTGTGATTCCCAGATTAAAGGAAATTTCTTAAAAGTCTTCTCTGGCTAAAAAAGGATACAATCAGCTTGTTGAGAACCTGGTTGGATTTTGCTTTCGATGTCCTCCAGCAAATCAAAATCTGGCAGCATCAGGTGTCTGTGCACTGTGATGTTCTGATACTGATCACCGGCAGCAAGGGCATTGTCAGTGCCATCTGTACCAAACAGGACTAAAGCAATCTCATCCTTGCTCTCAGCAAACACCTAGAGAAGAACATCAGAAGGCTGAAACCTATATTAGAACAACCTGAAAGCAACAAAATACTTAATCTTGAGGAAACAGGACAATCATACTATCCTATGGCAGGTCCCTGGGGCTATAGAATATTGGGTTGGACGAAACACAGGACTTATGATGGACAGTAAAAATTCCTAGGTTCTAAGCAGACATTTCATTGACTATAATTCCCACCCTTCATTTCAGCACAAGTTGGGGTAAGGAAACAAGAGGGTAATATGAATAACTGCTTTTGATGACTTCCAGCCAAATCAGACTCTAATTCTCAATGATAACTAACTATAGGTAATTTGAAAAATTTTAGTCTTTCTGGAATGTCTATCCAAGGTTTAAATTTTCTGGAGAGTAACAAAAAAAAATTTCCAGGTTCATTACCTATATCCCAGAAATTTTACTGACAGGTATATATTGTATACCCTAAAAAAATTCTTGTGCATGTATGCAAAGAGACAATGGATAAGACAGTTTACACTTCAGCACTGTTAATAACAGGGCAAAAACTGGAAGCAAATTATCAACAGGAGAATGCAAAAATGCACTGCAGAATATTTATACAATGGAATATTACACCCCAGTAAAAGTAAATTTGTGCAACATTTCTCTGTGAATACATTAGGTTGAGAAAAAAATAAGTTGCAGAATTACATGTGCCATATAAAACCATTTATATACACTTTTGACAGCTTTATACAATACTAAATATTTTACTTATGAATACATACTTATGTCCAATAGCATAAAATATTCAAGGTACTAACTACTCAAATCCTGACAAAATGAGGAGAAGGAGAGAGAAAAAAAGGATTTGGAAAGGGCTTCAAGTTTATTTTTAATAAAATACTTTATTTTTTTAATGAAAGAAAGAAAAAGAAATAAAATAAATATGGTAAAACATTAGGATTATATAGCACAAGAAAATGGGAAAATAAGTTTTCATTATATTATTCTCTGCATTTCCTCTTTTATGAAACATTTCATAATATTAAAAAAAAAACTACTATCTGACAGAAAAGGCAGTCCCATCCTCACCTAATTATTAACATAAGCCTTTCACATTGCTGGGGAAGAGTACTGTAAGGGGAGATAATGGAATTCTGTCATTCTTCACTTTTGTGTGGTCTATTAAATCCTCTAGTCTGTAAACAATTCCTCCTAGGACTTCCAGGTATATTAATACGTGGAGCAAAGGTCTCTGTTGCTGGGGTTCAGACATGTCTAGCATACTGGCTGGGCAGGTGTCTGCTTCCAGGACAAGAATTAATCTCAAGGCAAGGTAGTTCTGTTCTAACAACGAAACCTCAGACATGGGAGAGGAGGAAATGTTGAGTGTAGTATGGGACTGGCATTAGGTTTTGTCCCCCGGCCTTCCAGATTCACTCTTTCTTAAAAACAACAACAGCAATAACAACAAAACCATCCTATACTGGGGCACAACCATAATACTTGAATACCCCCAACACAACTATAACCAAGAATGGGGTTACAGCACCCTCTTCTTTGACACCTGAAGGACTCCAGGTCATCAGGATTTTTGAAAATCTAGGATGACAAGTGGCAACACCCAGAAGAAACAGCAGAGGTGTCCAGGAGAAGCAGCAGTACCCAGTGAACAAAGCAGGACCTCATGAAGTTAGCAAAACTGTCAGTCATACCAAGTGGAAGGGGCAGAAATAATAGTAATAATAGTTAATACTTATATAGTGTAGACAATATGCTAAGCACTGTCCTACGCACTTTATCTACACTAAATTTTTTATTCCTCAAAACAACCCTATGTAAAAGGTATTATTATTTTCCTCATTTTACACATGGGACACAGGGGCACTGTGGTAGACAGGCCCCAAGATAGCTACCATCCATTCCTTCTCTCCCTGTATTTGCAGGCTACTCCCTATAAAAAGAGGGAGTCTAATTCCCCCCACTTGAATGTGAGCTGGCCTTCGTGACTTGCTTGACTAATAGAAAACAACTTTCTGGGATTGCTAAAGCTAAGTCATAAGAAGCCACATAGGCAGGGTTTCTTAGGATACTCACTCTTGGGACACTCCTTCTTAGAACCAGCTGCTACACTGTGAGAATCCCAAGCTACAGAGGACTTAGCTCAAAGGCACCAGAAGGCATCATCTTCCAGCCATGTGAATGAACCATCTCAAACATCCAAGCCAGAAGACTCCAGCTCCAGCCACCATCTGATTGCAACTGCATGAGAGGCCTCAAGAGAGTGACTGAACTGAGCCCACCCAGTCATCCCACAGAACGACGAACAATGATACTTTTTAATATGTCGTTTAAGACATTAAGTTTTGGGGTAGTTTGTCACAGCCAAAGATAAAAGAACTAGACACAAAGTAGTTGAAGGACTTTTTCAAGATCATGAGGTTAGCAGAGCAAGGACTCAAATCCAGGCCATTTGGCTCTAGAGATTGTGCTTTTAAATATTACTTTATACTGCCTCTTGTTTCTGATAAAAACCTTAATATCCAGTGGAAAGGGCAGAATGAGGGAAGAACAATTATCAGACTCCAGTGATGGGTGGACTTGCATATGAGTATAGGCAAGAAAACTTCCCAGATTCCCCAAAACAGTGAGGCTGGACTTTATAAGGAGGTTTGTATCTTATGCAGGTAGAGGAAACAAGCAGTTAAAAGATGGGTTACAAGCTCAAGATCAATCTGAAACTTACCTGTCGCTGGATGAACATGGTCATTACCTTCTTTGCTTGCTCATATGGTGATTCTTCACCAGGAAAGGAGTTCCTCATGGCAAAGCCCACATCCATACATAGCACAACAGCTGCCTAGAAATAAAGTCCCAAGGAGTGAGAAAATAACAATCATAAGAAAAAGATTCTGAGATACGTCCCTTGCTTACTGTAATCACAAAACCACAATACTAATGGTATTTAGGGGAGGCAGGATAAAGGGAAGAGAGATATTATTTAATCTAGAAAGTATCTGCCAGGAGAGGAATATGCTCCAGATAGCCACCTCTCCTATGGCCTGGGCCCCAGAATAAACCCATGTTGAGCAGATATGAAATCAACCAATAGGTCAGAGTTAAGTCCAGCCCAACCGAGCCCAACATTCTTCAGACAAAACTGCAGTTGATCTGCAGACCAACTAGCACGAGAATAGATGCTTTTGCTGTGTCACTTATTTGAGGTGTGGTTTGTTAAGAAGCATTTTTTGTGACAACCGGTGAGTACTACAATCCATGTATGCTAAGATGGTACACTCTGACAATGAGTCAGTTTGTAAACTGGGACTCTAAAATAAAAACTAAGGCACCAAATCTCTTCCAGTAGAGGACACAGATACATAACAAATAATGCCAGCATAATGTCCCACGGCAGAGCTACGCAGTGGGCAGTGAGAGACACAGGAACATCCACCCAAGGATGGTGGAGGGGAAACATGAAGGATAAGGAGGCGGAAAAGGCTTCCTGAATATGGACTTCCTTGATTGAGTCTTCAAGAATGAGTGGGAGTCAATCATGTGAACAAGAAAGTTACAGATGGAGGGAACCACATAAGCAAAGGCACAGTCATTAGATAGACAGCAATCACAGTGGTGAGCAGCTCTTGGCGTCATGTCCTATGAGAAAGATTAATTACAACTGACCATGAAATGAGCATGTTAGGGAAGGATCTGAACAATATGTGCTGTAAAGAACAGTTGGAAAAAAACTAGATATTTGAGCCAGATGAGATTAAGAGGAACATGATAGTAACAGCTGTGATATGAAAAGACTGATCTACAAGAAAGATAACAGAATCAACAGATGGAAGTTACAGGGATATTGGTTTCACTCCATAGAAGGGAAAAAAAGTAACATTTTAGCAATTATCAATAGAGGAACTACTGTTTTCTGAAGCAGTGATCTTGTGACCCTAAAAGTATTTGAAAAACCTGTATGAGCTCCTACCAGGGAAGTTATACATAATTTCTAAATGTGGTTATACCTCAGGCAACATATGAAAAGACTATTTTTCCCTGGTTTACAAAAAATTTGAATATAAGGCACTAATATTAAGAGATTTCTGGAGTAAAAATAGCTTATTTGAAAAAAAAGAAAGTGGTAACAACTACAAAATTCCTTTAAGAGCAATAAAATTCATATCTCACAGTTTCAATGCCCTAGGCATAACATAAAAACACTTAAGTCACAAAATATGCTGCTGCATTTATTTACTATATGTTCATATAAGCTACTTTTTTTTCCCCACTAATTCCATGACAGATTAAAAAAAATTTTTTTTTGGAGACAGGGTCTCACTCTGTTGCTCCGAATAGAGTGCAGTGGCATCATCATAGCTCGCTGCAACCTCACACTCCTGAGTTCAATTGATCCTCCTGCCTCAGCCTCCCAAGTAGCTGGGAGTACAGGCAAGTGCCACTGCCCCTGGCTAATTTTTCTGTTTTTTTGTAGAGACAGGGTCTGGCTCTTGCTCAGGCTGGTCTCAAACTCCCAAGCTCAAGCAATCCTTCTGCCTTGGCCTCTCAAAGTTCTAGGATTATAGGTGTGAGCCACTGCACCTGGCCCAAAACTGCTTTTAAACAAGAAAATTCTAGAAAATTAAAGGTCTTTTGCTAGGAATCAGGTATCCAGAAAATTACATCGAAGAGTTTCACAACATGTGAAGTAGATAAAGATGGCTTTTGTAAATTTAAAATAGAGTTAGTTTTGTTTTAACTATTAATAAAAGTTTTTTTAAAAGGTTTTAGAAAAGAGAAGAGAGAGTTGAGGAGGCCTGTTTTTAAAAAAAATAAAAAGGCTTTGTTCTAGAAAAAGTTCCTTGTCCCTCAATATACCTTTCCATTGTTCATTTAATTAACAACTAACTGCAAAGTTCTGCTTCTATAATTGCTCGTTTGCATAGCTGCCAGCCCCAAAAAACCACAAAGGCTTTGTTGGGCTGCTTCTCCCTCCTTACATAAATAGTGACAGCCCCTGCACAGGTATCAATAAACTAATCTGGCTAATTAAATTCTAGTGTCCGAGTCCCCTTAATCCGCTAGTTTACAATACATGGAACTAACTTCTTGTCTGGAGGCAGAAGAATAGTCTATCTTAAACTCTGAGCTCCTTTCTGGCAGCAGTAAGAAAACCAGGAAAGAGATATTGGGCAGTATAGCAACTCTTTATTTCTATACTGAAGCAATACAGCTATTAGGATTTTACTTCAAGTCCATCTGCCACAAAAGTAACAACTCCTCTACTACAGCTACAGAGTTTTCAGCCCCTGAAGGAGGAGGAACAAAGGAGGTGAGTAGCATCATTTCGAGTTCATAATCTTTTTAATCAACATTTACCAACAGAGTTGAGGGGACTAGGGATCAGTTGCTCAAACTCCCATCTTGTTTAACAGTATTGAATGAATGAATCCCTGGAACCACACCTTCCTTTAGTGACCCTTTTGAGATAATTACCACTCTCCTGCTGTATTTAAAATAAATCCCGTTAAAATTGATTTCAGATTTTATTATTATTCTGAGACATCAAGGGTTACAGATTCCTAACATAAAGATTCTCCAGGGCTCTGAAACCCTAACAGCCGGGATTCAAATCCAGGTTCCACCACTTATGGATCATGGGCTAATTATTATAATCACTTCAGTTCTCTATGCCTGGGTTTTTCCATTTGCAAACTGGGGATAAGTAGTTTTCACTTCATGGGATTGTTGTTAAGATTAAATAAAATGGAAATAAAGGGTTTACATTATTTTATCATCCTCTGTGCCTCACACGTTTATTGAATATCTTTCAATAAATGCGAGAAATTAAATTGTTACAAAGATAATGTGACATTTTACATTTCAAGTTATTTTATTCACAGATCGTCCCTCTCCAAATTTTACACGCCTGTGGGGTAGGTGCTTATCATTCACTCCCACATTGTTTTAAGAACTCAGGTTCAAAAGTAACAGAGGAGGTGGGATTAGAGGATGGAGTGGGTATGAGGGGTAGTGAGGGGAGGCGGGTGAGGAGGGAGGTATAATGAGCAGGTGGGAAAGGGAGAAAGGGAATGGGATGGACGGTCAATGGGAAGGGGACAGAATGAATGAGGATCAAATTCAGGTCTTCGGATTTCAAATCCCCAGCTTTTCTCATAGCGCATCCTAGCCCTCCGGGTCCAGCCCACAACTATGATCTTCCCTCTTGCTCCACTCTTTAGCACTGCCGTGATCCCACGATTCCTGCTTCCCAAGCCACCCTCTCCGGATCCTCGGCAGAGGTAAGGCCCAAGCCTACGGCTCGCTCTCTACCTTATTCCCCGACCACGCCATGTTGCTGGTCCGCAGGCGCCTTGGTTGCCTCTTCCGGGCGGGAACCTGCAGCGCCGCAGCTCGGTTCCGGCGGACTTGCTGCCCGCGGTAGAAAGAAAAGCAGCTTCCGGCTAAGCTTGTAAGGGGCGGGGAAAGCGTGCGCGGGAGCTCTGAGCATGCGCATATTCCCTCCATTCCGCTTTGGTGAGTGTGTGGAGTCTGAGCTGAGACACCAAGTGCTGGCCACTAATACTCATCACTGCTCCGGAAGGCTCATTTTCCTTTTCGCTCATTGAGAATAACACCTACAGAGTTTTGTGTTAAAACCCTGGAGTTAATTTCCTCGAGTATAAGTCCAGGAAGACAATTAAGTTCTCTAAAAGCCTCAGTTTATTCTAGTAAAAAGTGTAATAAAGACTTAACAAATGCGATGACCTTAAACCAACTCCTGAAGAATAAGTAGGAGTTTTCCAGGCAAAGAAAAAAGTAGAAAGGCAAGGTACAAACGCCTGTTGGCACGAAACAGCATCTGCAGAGTCTCTCCCAATAGTCTGGAGTGTCTCCAGCTTGGAAGGAAGGAGGTGAGGTTTTATTTAGAAGGCGAACCTAGAGAGGTGTTCTAGAAATGGCAGCTGTAAATCACAGCGCTTGCCTGGCTCTCTTTCAAGGAAACTGTCCAGCAGGCAGCCCCTGCCCCTCTGAGGGAGACTGGCCCAAGACGAACTTTGCACAGAAACAACTGTTCTTTATACCAGATGACCCACACGCTGACAGGTGATTGGACAAAGCCTCTGGCAACCTGCAAAGTTTCTGCAAACCTCTGCCCAAACTGGGAAAATCAAGTACAATCAGTAATCTCTTCTTGGAAATTGGACCTGGGAGAAACTAGAACTAAAGCTGAAAAGGTGTAGCAAATCCGTAAGTGAAAGTTATAAATAGGTTGAAGCCAGCACAATCAGACATTATCAGACGTGCAGGTGTTACAGAAGGTTCGGTACTGGTCCCTGAGGTCAAATCAGTGAGAACGAAGAAGAGGAAAAGTGATTTGAAAAAAAGGAAAGAAGTTTATTAATTTGCTGGCAAAAGAGGAGGGAGGTAGACTAGTGTCTCAAAAGTGCCTTTAACCACTTTGGTAGGAGCGTCGACTAGTCAGTAGCCACAGATGAACGTGCACAGCCAAGCGTGGACTTTAGCCGTGGACTTTAGCCGACAGCCGTGATATGAAGGCACACAGCTGAGCACCGGCTGAAGTCGACAGCCAAAAGCTTTTACTTTTACAGCTTTTGTCTCTGCAGTTGCAGTGTGTACATTCAGCTAATAAGTTATTATGAATCTGTGACCTTTTAACAAGTCCTTAGCAGGAGTTATTATAGTTATTTTCCTAAAGCTGCCTGTAAAGTAAAACAAGTTTTCAGTGCTTTAAAGCTTTCATCCATCACACAAGAGCAAAATGGATTCATCGTCAATACACAGCACAAAATACCATGCAGACTATGAGTGTCGGCTGCGAGCATGGTTTCTCAACCAGTGAGCGCGGGACCCAAGTGGTTAAGTAGAAAAACAGGGCTTTTTAAAAGAGTGGTACTTGGTGGTTGAGCTCAGGTCTACATGACCATGACCATTTTCACATGTCATGGCTTTAGCTATTGTTTAATTGGTGGTTTCCAGTTGACCTTATCTTCGGTAACAATGATCTTGTGACCCTGAACAATTCTGTTCAGCCATCTCCTTTGGTTTAACATACTAGAAAACAACAGCGAAGAACATTTTTCTGCCCCTTAGATTACTGGTCTTGGGAAGGAATGTAGATTTTAATTCCCAAAAAGCATGGGAGGTTTTAAAGAGACAACTCATAAAACATTTAATTGCTCTTCTTTAGACTTTTACCTCTGTTACATTCATAGACCTGTTAATTTAAATAATAAGTGGCTGGAAATGAAAGTCACACACAAATGAAGTTTATTATCATAAGACAAGATTTTGAGGATGTACCCAGCCAGGTAAAACAGGAACTGCAGACAAGCTCTGGCTGTTTTTCCTAAGGGGAAGTTGGAGTCTTCAGCATTTGAAAGGCATAGGGAGAGAAGGAAAAAGGTGGAGGGGGAGGTGATGTAACAAAGTGGTTATAACATTCTTGTGAGGCCCAGGAAATCTACATTTTGCATAAAATGAGAGGGAATATTAGAAGGGAAAAGGGGAGTGAAGGAAGTATCAGTTATGTGGAAGTCCCTGGGTAGGTGGAAGAATGTCTGATTCTGTCTTATCTCCAGTTCTGTAAAGATAATTCATTTTAATTCATTATTAACGTGAAATCAAATAGGCTTTAGTTGTAGGTGCTAGACATAGGTACAACATGTATGTCCTTGCTTATGGGAGGTTAGCAAGGAATTTCATTTCATTAATGAATGATCCACCAGGCCAGTTCTTTACAGGTGCCTGAGGCCCTCACATCTCTTTTGCCTAAGGAGTTGGGGCAGAGCGGTGTGGGCAGGTGCCAGAGTGGTCCTGGTAGTTTGATTTTCTTTTTACAGACCCCAGGAAGTTTTCCCATCTTTTGATTCAAACTCAAGGAATTCTTTTAAAGCTGAAGTATTTGTAATAATATTTTTATGGAGAGGTAATGGCCAGACAGCCCAGCTTTGTGAAGGCTCTTGGGCTGGCTACAGCCAGCAAGCACCTGGCAGCTGCCCTTTCTTGCTGCCAGAATGCCCAAGAGGAAGGTCAAGGAAAAGGGCGGCTAAGGAAGAGCCCACAAGGAAGTTAGCAAGATTGTTAGCTACCCCTGCTCCTGCAAAAGTGGAAACGAGCCCAAAAAAAGCATCAGGAAAGGATAAATCATAGGACCAAAAAAGTGCAAACGAAAGGGAGAAGGGGAGCAAAGGGCAAACAGGCCCAAGTGATTAACTAAAACTAAAGACAATTTGCCTAAAGAAAATGGAGAAACTAACAATGAGGGAGTCATATACCATGATACCATGATAAGACATGGTATATGATATTAATCAGATTTGGCTTCTTTCTTTCCTGTTTCATCAGAGGCTAGACCCTGTGACTATATATGGCTACTCCCTTCCTCCTCCACAACAAAATGATGCTGGCTTTGTTGATTCCATTTCTACCTGTCAGTGCAAGGTCCTTTTGGATTTGTTTGACACAGAATTGAGTGTAAAGGGGGAGGATAAGAGGTTGATGGGCTATGGCTAGTGGTAGTGCTGGGGTATGTGTTGGGGGAGTGAGGAGGGAGTTGGACAGAGAGAATAGTATGGGAGCCACAGTGGCACATGAAAGAAATGGGTGGGAGGGGAAAATAACAGACTATTACTTTGGTGAACCTCATGAGCCATGCCTGCCAGGATTCATACTCTTATATAGTCTCTTAACTTGAATCTGTACTGGCCTTATGACTACCTTTATGACTGTAAATGTAGCAGAAGTGACACTGGGCCAGCTCTTGGCCAAAGCCTGCAGAATGCCTAGCAGATTTGGCTTTTGTACCCTGGTGAAACCAGATGCCATGAATGAACCAACTACCATGAGACTGCCATGATGTGCAAGCCCAATAGAGCCACATGGAGGAGCACTATTATGGGTTAAATGTGTCTGCCCAAAATTCGTATGTTGAAATCCTACTCCCCCCCCCATGTGATGATAGTTGGAGACAGGACCTTTGGGAGATAATTAGGCTTAAAAAAGTCATGAGGGTGGGGCCCTCATGATGGAATTAGTGTCCTATAAGAAGAAACACTAAAGACCTTCTCCTTCTCTCTCCCCCTCTCCTCCCCTCACACAAAGAAAAGGTCATGTGAGTATACAGCAAGAAGGCAGCCGACTGCGATGCAAGAAGAAAACCCTTACCAGAGAGTGAATATGCTAGAACCATGATCTTGGACTCCCAGCCTCTAAAACTGTGAGAAAATAAATCTCGGTTGTTCAAGTTGCCACATCTTTGGTATTATCTTTTATGACAGTCCAAGTTTGTTTTGGCAGCCCAAACAGCCTAATGAAAGCACTGAGCACCAATAACCCCAAGGTTGTACCCAGAAGGCCCCTAGCACCTAGTTGGCAGCCACATAAGTAAGGTTGTCTAGGAGCAGATCCTCCAGGCCCTAAAGATCTGTCCCAGCATTAGAAACATTGAGCAGAGACTAGCAGTGGAGCTGTGCCCGGATTACAGAATTATGAGAAAAAGAATCTAAAGGCGGTTGTTTTAAGCCTGTATGTTGTGGGTATTACAGCAACAATAGACAACTAAAACAACAGAGGGTTTTTTTTGAACTATTGCTGTAATGTAGACCAAGTGTTCCCTTCAGGGTAATTAATAAAGGCAAATAAAATATTCGATTTATTTTTAAATTACAATTAAAATTGCTAGAGTATGTTTGAGTTTTGTATCATTCTGAGAGTGACCTATATGAGTGATGACTTTATGAGCATTATACAAAATAAAAATGTGCAGGCTTTGTGCTCTGACAGAGCTGTAACAATGGTTATATGGGTATTTAGGAAAATGAGTTAAAATTTTAATAGAGTACAGATATGAAATAAAAGTTTGTATCTCAAACAGATGTGAGTAGTGATGGTATCATGTTCCACCACTTCCATCAAACCATTAAAAATCCACAAAGAAAAGTTTATCTTAGTAATTAAATTAATTGAGGTGGAAGAGAAATCTTTGATGTTAGACACTAGTTTTCCTCAACATTGCAAAAATTAAGCCCTGGGTGGCGATTCTAAAATGGCAGAGTGAAACTTTTAAATCATCTGAAATTAGTCCTTTTTAAAATTTGAAATTTTGCTTTATAGGAAATCATGGGTTTTCCTCCTTGGACATTAACTAAAATGAAGAATGCCACCTGGCTGGGCGCAGTGGCTCACGCCTGTAATCCTAGCACTCTGGGAGGCCGAGGCGGGCAGATTGCTTGAGGTCATGAGTTCAAAACCAGCCTGAGCAAGAGTGAGACCATGTCTCTACTATAAATAGAAAGAAATTAATTGGCCAACTAATATATATAGAAAAAATTAGCCAGGCATGGTGGCACATGCCTGTAGTCCCAGCTACTAGGGAGGCGGAGGCAGCAGGATTGCTTGAGCCCAGGAGTTTGAGGTTGCTGTGAGTGAGGGTGACGCCAGGGCACTCACTCTAGCCTGGGCAACAGAGTGAGACTCTGTCTCAAAAAAAAAAAAAAAAGAGTACTACCTAATGCCAATAGACAAAGTGACTTAGAAACAGTAGCATCACCACACTGAGCCAATACGGTTTATCCAGCTGAGCACATTATGGCTGCCAAGCAACTGGAAAATAGAGTCCTCCTTTTTGATATTCAGCATGAAGATTAGATGACTATGAGCTAAAAGAATTGTTCAAATATGGTATTTAACCCTCTAGTTTCTCCTTTAATGTTCTCTAGTTGCTTTCTGAGAGCAAAGATGAGACTGCTTTAGTTCTATTTGGTTCTAGTCCAGGCTTTTACATACCTCTATAGAGGCCTTTTGAAATAATTTTAGTTTACAAGCCTATTTCTTTACTAGGTGATGAGCCCAACTAGGGTGAAGGCCATGTCAACTTTATCTAGGATCCCTTGGGCATTGTCTCACTCCACTGCACAATGGCCACCTCACCCTTGTCCTAATCATGACTCTTTAGCATTGGTCATTGGTTTCCCCAACCCCAGAAAAATGTGGCACAAGTGGTCACAAGTTTCTAATGTGGTTTGTGGAAATACTCCACCTAAATAGAATCCCCATAAATTAGTGGTGTGTGGAAAGAGTCAAAACATAAGGATTCATATTAAGATCATTATATATAGAGAGAGAGGACAGCCACCATGCTCACCCTTTTTCTGCAAGCTGTAGAATTCAAAGAAATTTTAGAGAGCCTCAAAGACAAAGTGAGCAAATTTTAATCAGCTTTTATTTTTATTTTCTTTGTCTTCATTTCAATTATTCATATCTCTGCAAATGCACCAGAGAGCACCAAAGTAATCTTTAAAAATACTGGGCATATTTTTTTCTTACCAATCTATTAATAGTCCCCCCCCCCCAAAAAAAAAGAGTTCTTCTGAAGGTGGAGTTCAGCACCATACATTAGGCAAATGTCCCCAGCTTTCTGTGGGTGAGCATGGCCAACCCCTCTGGTTGGTTCACAGCAGTTCTTTCAACAGTTCTTTCTGAGACATGAACAAGAAAAAAGCACCAGATATTCTTCAAAATCTGCTGACCTTTTAGCATTTGATGTTTTGAAATGCTAGAAATGATTTTTGTTTTTTAAATTCAGAATCTATTCATCTGGATGAATCTGGTTTACACCCCCTAGTGGCCAGGAAGACACAGGTATCTCAGCACAGTAAAGACCATGTTTGTTAAACTCTAGAAAGTGAGTGAGTAAAGCTCTGAGTGAGGTTTTGCCAAATAACAGAAGACTTCTTTGTGCTTAGGGCTACTGATCCCTGTTGGGGAAACATTTGGCAAATGCAATCTCTCTCTTTCCAGTCTTTAATCTATAGATTAGATTGAATAGCACCACCCCTGTCTCCACATCCACCACCAGGAGAGAGTTATGCTACTATTATCTAATTGTTCTCTCCTTCCCACTACTCATTTCCAAAAAAATCTAAAACCATGTGATATTACAGAAATTTAATTGCAAAGTATGAGAGGTGCTAATACCCATATATATCACATACGTAGTATATGTAGCTAATATCTATATATAAATCTTATGTGTAAAATTCAGGCCTAAATAAGCAAATAAATGAACAAATAGATAAATAAAACTATATTAGCAGTTTGGGATTCCGAATGTATTTAAATAATTATTGTGAGGGAGAGATTCTTACTTGTCTACCAAAATAGCCATTCTTCCCTTTTCTCTCCAATTAGCATAACCCCAATATTTAGGTGAGAATATAGCTATCCAGCCAAACAACTACATTTCCTAGGCTTTTTTTGCTCATGAGGTCATGTGACTGAGGTCTGGCCAATGAGAAATTAGAAGGGTTGAGTGGGACTTCCTAGAAGTCTCCTTAAACAGGAAGGGTGTGCGCTTCTTTGCCCCTTCCTCTGTTTTGCCAGAAACATGGGTGCAATGGCTGGAGATGTAGTTCAGCACCAGGACTGAGGCTAAAGGCAATGCAGGTCACATACTGTTAATGGCAGAGGAATAGAAGAAGCCAGGGCCCTGGAGAACTTCATAGGGTCCCAGGATGATCTATCTCCAGGCTTCTTCTATACAAGAAAGAAGTACCCTTCTATCTTGTTTAAACCACTGATATTTTAGGGGTTTAATTATATATACAACTAAATCTAACTCTAAATGATACACACCAATCTTTACTTTCTGCTACACTGTGGCACCCCAGCTTCCTAAATGTTTCACTCGGTCCTCCTGGTGGACTTGGTCACTCCTGCGCCTCTTATTCTCCCTGTCACAATAAGTCACGCACTCCCCTGGGGTCCAGGCACCAGAAACATCGTCAGGCTCGCAAACTGATACACAGTGGAGCTCCTTGTCCCTGAAAACTGGTCATTTTAGGGCAGAGAATCAAGAAGAGTTTGTCCATTGGATGGACTGGTTTAGCACAAACTGCCATTTGTGTCCCCTGCCCTCCAGGAACCATCAAGATGGCAGGACAGATCAGTATGGGCTAAGATTTTGCCGAAGAACTGTGGTGGGGAGGGGGTAATTTAAGGAAAGAATCTGGTGGAATTATAAGATGATATATTGGCTGCTGGGGCCAGAGAAGGAAGTCAGTTGTTGGGAGTTTAGACAGTGGAGGTTTCTATTTCCTGGGTGGGGTCCTTGTTGGAAAGGGTGGCTGAGATATTGTCAGATTCAAGCAGCTCCACAATGCTGTAGGGAGAACAGTCCTCCAGCCCCAGCTTGCTGCAGAGCCAGCCACAGAAGCCCTTCTCCATGTCCCGGGCAGCCTGCCACCATGCTCCCCAGGACCACGAGAGCTGGACCACGGCAGCATAGAGGCCCAGGGCAGAGGCCATGGCCATGATGAGCACTGGATAGAAGAGAATGAGGCAGGGGCAACATGAGATCTTGTGCCAGAAGGTCCTCTCCTCGTTGTACACGAGGAAGATGTTGTACCAGGTGATAGTGCCATAGTAGAAAGAGACAACGAAAGAGAGGACGAAAACCACGGGCAGGCAGACCAGTGTCCAGAGGACCACATGGGGCCCACGGTCGGCTCCCACCTGGCAGGCCTCTCTTCCTTCCGATGTTGCTTCCCTTGACAACTCTTTAGGCTTGGTCAGTTCCTGCAGCTCCTTCTCTGTCAATGTGACATGGATGTCCACCATCTGACCCTTTTTCTTCCCGCGTGTGATGGTCCCAGTTAATGTCACATAGCGGCTATCTAAAGGCATGTTCCACATTCCTGCAGGGCAAAAAGGAGGCGAGAGCCAAAATTAGAAGAGTGGATCAGAAGTGCATCACAGGGTCGTCACCTGAGGCTGGGGATAAGGACAAGAATGTCCTTTGTTATAGCGTCGGACACAGCACTGGAGGCAGCACTCAACGACAGACTGAAGGGGTCTCCCTCAGGAGGGCGACCACTGGCACTGCTGCTCCCACAGTGAGCTCTCACCCCACGTGTCAAATGGGGGCAGGGTCAGCTTGTTTCTCATGTTCTCTCTCCACTCTTTTGGGCCTCAATCTTGGCACAATCTCTGTGACATGAAGGGGTGGGAGGAACTTTACTACACATAGCACTTTCTAATGATCCTGTGTCTAGTTAACAAGTGCTGTGAAAATGGTGTTTGTGAATGTCAGGTACTGTGCGTCAAGACTGTACGTGTGTGTGTTAGACTGAGGGCAGCCCACCCTGCCGCCCTTCTCGTGCCCAGCTCTACCTTCTCCTAGAGGGGCCTCCTCACACACCTGTGGGCATCCCAGCCTCACATCCGGGCTCTGCACACACGCTACACACACCCACACCCACACACACACACACATACACACCACACCACACTCTCCCACACACACCACTCCCCTCCACACATACACACCACACACACACACACCCACACACCCACATACACACCACACCCTCCCCCACACATACACACACACCACACACATACACTCCCCCCCACACATACCACACACATACACACCACACTCTCCCACACACCACTCCCCCAACACATACACACAGCACACACATACACACCACACTCTCCCACACACCAGTCCCCCCACATACACACACACCACACACATACACCCCAAACACACACCACACACATACACACCACACTCTCTCACACACACCACTCCCCCCCCACACCACACACATACACACACAACATACCACACATACTCTGTACACAAACACCACACATATAATACATACCATATACACACACCACATACACACACCACACCCTCCCACACAACACACGCATACACACACACAACACACCACATCCTCCCACACATGTCACATACATACACCATACACTATACACCCCCCACAACACACACATACATACACAACACACATACCCCATGCACATATACCACACACATAATACATATCACATACATACACTAGCCATGCCCCTCCACATCACACACTCATATAAATGACAACACTTATACACCCCACACACACACACCACACACACCACACCACACAACACACTGAACATTACACACACATACATACCAGACAACACACAAACACCCCTGGCCCCCACACGCACCATATACACACATGCCACACGCATCCCACATATGCCCACCCAACCACACCCCCCTCACGCACCCCACCAGACAGCCATCCTTGGGCCACTCTGGAAGTGAGGTTGGAGATGTGGATACAGGGACGTCTGTGGCCTTTGGTGCATAAAATGTAGTCTTGAAGTGTGGGGGGAGGGTTGGGGGAGAACAGGCTCTAGGTGGGCATGCTGCTCATGTTGCACGTGAACTCCTTGCCCCACAGCTGCAAGAGAGAGAGAGAAAATGGAGTCGCCTACAGGGCAAGGCCCTGGATAGTGCCAGGGGCTCTGACTATCCAGTAAAAGGGTTCTGCTGTCCCTCAACCTCATGTTTTCACAGTCTCCTTCATCTCAGAAAAGGACACCACCATCTGTCTTCTCCATTGTTCCTGCCAAACACCCAGGAGTCATTATGGATTCCTCTCTTTTCCTCACTCCCTGCCTCTGATCAATCAGCAAGTCCCAGATTGCATTCTGAATCCAGCCTCTCTTCTCTAGCTGTCTCTCCTGCTGTCACCCTAAAAGTCTCCTATCAGCTTCCAGTCTCACTCCTTGTAATCCATTCTTTATAGAGAAGGCAGAGTGATCTTTTAAAAATATAAATGAGGGCCAGGCGTGGTGGCTCACGCCTGTAATCCTAGCACTTTGGGAGGCCGAGGCGGGCGGATTGCTCAAGGTCAGGAGTTCAAAACCAGCCTGAGCGAGACTCCGTCTCTACCAAAAATAGAAATAAATTAATTGACCAACTAAAAATATATATACAAAAAATTAGCCGGGCATGGTGGCGCATGCCTGTAGTCCCAGCTACTTGGGAGGCTGAGGCAGTAGGATCGCTGAGCCCCAGAGATTGAGGTTGCTGTGAGCCAGGCTGACGCCACGGCACTCACTCTAGCCTGGGCAACAAAGTGAGACTCTGTCTCAAAAAAAAAAAATTAAATAAATAAATAAATAAATAAAAATACAAATGAGGCTGCGAGTGGCGGCTCAAGCCTGTAATCCTAGCACTCTGGGAGGCCGAGGCAGAGGATCACTTGAGGCCAGGAGCTCCAGACCAGCCTGAGCAAGAGTGAGACCCCATCTCTACAAAGAATAAGGAAAAATTAGTCAGACATGGTAGTATAAGACTGTAGTCCCAGTTACTGGGGAGGCTGAGGCAGTAGGATCACTTAAGCCCAGGAGTTTGAAGTTGCAGTAAGCTATGATGATGCTCCTGCACTCAGCACATACATGGTTAGTATAAACTGTTTGTGTTACCAATTTTTGTGTATAAATCAGCCTCTTCCATTACATTAAAAGTTCTGAAAGGGTGGTGGAGATCTCCTCCATATCACCTACAATAAAACATAATAGGTGCTCAGTAAATACTGTGGATTTGTTGAATGAAGACTGCAACATTATGAGAAGAAATATATCACCAACAAAAACAGATCAGTGAGCAAATGCCTGTCTATTCTGGGGGATGCCCCTTTGTTTTCTTCCTGTAGTTTTAAACAAGTGGCCCTAGACAGACTCACCATCATCCATAGGATAGTCTAGGAAATCATCTCCTTCCTCCTCTTTAGGCTGCTCTCCACCTTCCAATTCCCCAGGCTCCTCGTCCGTTTTCTCATTGTCTGAGCGGTAGACGATGATGGATTCTGGGCGGGATTCTTTCTTCTTCTTTTTCCTGCGACCCATTGTAGATTCCCCATCCAGGGCCAAGGCAGCAGCCACAGCCTTCCTCAGTGAGCCCTGGTAGGAGCTTGGGAGCTGGGTCTGGCCTTCCACTGGAGCTGGCTCTTCCATCCCAGTCCTGACCTCTATGCCTTATAAAGAGCCTGACTTGAATGAGCAAATGCACAATCCATATCCTGGGTGCGGTATATGCAAAGATATCCCAAGGATTTGTCCCACCTGAAAGATAGGAAAGCAAAGCCATCAATAAGGAGCAAATAGAATGAGATGGAGAAATTTGGGAAATGATCCTCAACTTGACAGAAGCCTTTCCTTCCCTTTATTTCTCATAACACTTTATTTTGCAAGTGCAGTGGAGATCCTCTTACAAGAATAGATTGACAATAACATTTTGTGTTACAACATTTGTGTCATTTACATAAACATATAATATTATGCAAAGCCCATCAATCTAGTTAGGGGAGGCAGAATATAAGAAAGTTACTGACAGATGAGAGTTAAGAAGAATTCTTTCTCCCCCCATAGATGGAGATTCAGATGGCTGGGGCCAGAAATCCCAACTTCTGGCTACTGAGTCATACATTATAACTACACCTAAACAGATGAGTGCAACTTTAAATAAGCCATCCAAAGATGGTGCAACTTTGCCAACCACATCTACCTTGCTATTCTGTAAAGGAAACCTCTCTCCTCCTTTATAGACCAAGACCTCAGAAAGTTGCTGGGATCTGTCTTATTACTTTCTGTAAAGACAGCAGAGAGGGTGCATTTAACACTCTTAAGTCAAATGCTTAGTAATAGAATTGGGAATTCTTATGGGTGGGGTCTGCAGGATGAAATTGGCTAGTGTCACTACTTCTTCACTGCCTGACTTTGTTAGAATAGAATGGGCACCATTATCTTTAAATTCTTTTTTTTTTTTTTAGAGACGGGGTCTCGCTCTTGCTCAGGCTGGTTTTGAACTCCTGACCTTGAGCAATCCGCCCGCCTCGGCCTCCCAAGAGCTAGGATTACAGGCGTGAGCCACAGCGCCCGGCCCCATATCTTTAAATTCTTATGCATACAGCTTGCTGGACTATGGAACTCATCTGGCTGACATGTCTAAGAACACAAAGGTGTATGCATGAAGAGTCAGGACTTTCCAAGAGTCTCTCCAAAGAGAGACTTTCCAAGGTAAATAATAGGGGACACGGAGCTCTCAACCATTAGAATGAGTAGACCTTGGGTATTAATGACCTCAAGCAGGGCTCTTCTTCTAAAGTAGCTCCAACACAGAGGAGAGTGGGCCTCTACCCAGAGGGGACTAGGTATAGAGGATGAACATATCCCCCCCTAAAGGTTAAGGTTTTCAAGCTTTGTTGTTAAAAATGTATATGAATTTTGAATTCTACTCTTTTAAGTGTCTGTGTTTAATGCAAAAATGTTTCCTTGGTCCAAGTACTCGTAAAATTGTCACTCAGAAATCCATATCATGGTAATCCACAATTGGGAGACAGGTAAACAAATCATACCTGCCTTAACGGTATAATTACCACAGCTTGGGAGGTTGCCTTAAGCCACAATGTATTCCTAGTTAGAGCTTCTGTTTTACTCTTTAGTTTCCCGGGGCAGCTTGTGAAGGGCCTTCCCTGGCCCATCTATACAGTGTGGGTTTTCAAACTAGGGGTTGATACTCCAAGCAGATTAAAGAACCAGAGCTTCAGAGCTGGGAGAAAGTTTACCTCCAATACCCCATACCCCTTCTTTGAAGATGTGCCAAGATGTTCAGTGGGAGATAGAAATGCCAAAGAGCATAGGTGAGAAGGCAAGTTGCAAACCTCATATTTCTCGTTCACTTGTCCTTTCTCTTTATTGAGGGAACAGTGTTCTTAGGGACATGTAGCAGGGCAAAGTAAACACACGCATGGAGGTGATAATCATTATTAATGGGCTTTATGAACATAAAAATGTGTGGTGTTCAGCACTCTTGAGTGGCCAGAATGGGAGAGGCCAAGGTTAGAGCTTCCTGAGCCCAAGGACAGAATAACACAGAAAACAGGAGCTAAGAGATGCTTTGGAGTCAAGATCTCTAAAAATTTCAGATAGGGCTGCAGTCATCTGAAGGCTTGAATGGGGCAGGAAGATCTACTTACAAGAAGGTTCACTCACATGGTGCTGACTCAGCTCCTCTGCACGTGGGCTTCTACATGGGCTATCTGAGTGTCCTCACCACGTGGCTGGCTTCCCCCAGAGTGACTGATCTGAAAGTAGGTGTTCACCTTGACCACCCCGACTCTACTCTTGATCCCATCTCTTCCTCATCCTTGATTTCTTCCCTCTCCAATAGCTGCAACTTCTCCTTTCCACTGATTCCTTCCTCTTTGCCTTCAAACAATCTCAGAGTTTCCTATCTGGAAAACAACTTTGTCACTTCCCCTATCTGACTGTCCCATTTCTCTCCTTTTGTCACAATCAAGTTTCTCTATCAAATAGCTTATGGCCACTCATTACCAATTCATCCCCTCAGTCTTCTGTCTCCTCTTTTACCATCTTTTTCTCCTTACTCCCAAGCCCCATTCCTAAACACACACCCATACACAGGTCACTTGGAAAGGTGAGAAAAAGGCCAGGAAATTAGCCTTTACCAAGCCGTATGTGACAGGCTGTAAGGTAAACTCTTTATACATGTTACCTTATTTGCATGTCTCAACAAGCATGATAGGTAAGTTTTATTTTCCTCACTTGACATAGTAGGCTCATCCATGTTAAATAAACCAGTGAAAGAACTTGGATTTAAGCCTATATTTGCACAACTCTAAAGCCCAGGATTTTCCCACCACAATTTAGAAGTGTTAGTGGCTGCAGTGGACAACTGGTGGTTTTCTTTTTGTTTGTTTGTTTGTTGTTGCTGTCCAGAACCCTATTCCACCTTAGTTTAATGACAGGGCCACTCATTTCTGTGAGGAACACAATCTTGAAAGTCCCCGATGTAACCACACTGACCACTTCATCATTATTCTCCTTGTCCACACCAGCACCTCTGATTCTGCTAATTTCCACATCTTTCTTGAACCTTCCCTTACCTCTTTTGACTTTCTACACTCATTCTCTTGTTACCTTTGAAACCCTCCTTTTGTCTCTTTTGCTCCCTTATCTGCCTTCTCCAATCCATAAGTGCCAATGGTTTTGAGACTCAATTCTCAATTCATTGTCCTCTTTTCTCAACAAAACACTCTCTTCCTCCCGTTGAAATGCACAGCCTTCCTGCCCTCAGCTATAGGACCACTTCTATGCCAAGAACGCCCTAATCTGGTTCTCAAGAATGTATTTCCAGTTGCCAAGTAAATATTTGCTAATTGAATCTCTCATCATTTTTTGGCTAAGCACGTTCTAACCAAACTCATTACCTTTATTTCCAGCAGAAAACTTCCCAGTGTTACCAAGAGGAAAGAAGAGGGAAAAGCAAGGAGACAGGGATGGGGAAGGAAAATCCACAGGGTTTGCAGAGTGTCTACTTTCATAAAATAGAACATTTACTGATTGTCTAATTTGTTAGGTTCTGTGTTAATTGATTAGATAGACCACGTATTACTTCATTTAATTACACATTCAATAAATAAATAAGCCATTATTTATTTATTTCGAGATGGGAAGGTCTCACTATGTTGCCCAAACTGGACTTGAACTCCTGGGTTCAAATGATCCTACTTCCTCAGAGCCTGGAGTAGTTGGGATTTCAGTCACGCACCATCATGCCCAGCTTCAATGAATATTTATTGAACAATACCACGTGCCAGACATTGCATAGTGGTTCTAGGCACAACAATCTTATGAAGCAAGTACTATTTTGGAGAAGAAGACGCTTGGACTTAATAATAGTAACAACTAAAACTCACTGGATGCTTACTATGTGCCAGGTGCTGTTCTAAGTACTTTATGGTAATCATACTGTTCAATCTTCACAACAAACCAGTGAAGTAGATACTATTATGATTTCCATTCAGAGGAGAATTTGCTCAAGATTACATAGCTAGTAAGTGGTGGGGCTGGAACTCACACCCAGGTTTGTTCATTTCAAAGCCCATGTTCTTTTCCCTGTGCCTATTGCCCGCCAACATTTACCTAAGGTTCTATGACTTAAACTTGCAGGAATTTCTTTGATGAGCCCATTTACTAGGTTAGGAATATGTTCCTATATTCCTAATATTAACCAGTTTCTAAATCCCGTTAATCATTCCTGCAAAATCTCATTGTTAATCTACTCATTGAATTTCTACTGCCACCATACGCTAGAATACAGCCTTCACACTACTCCCTCCAAGCTGGTTTCCTGCCCTCCATTTCAGAATTCTTCCTGCATCATTTTAAATGGTGATTAATAAAACAAAACAAAACAAAACATTATTTGTATTTTGTCCAGTAACCATCACCATCTTGCCATTTCTGACTAAAATATATCTAAAAGGACTGCCTGGTGTTCGAGGCTTTCCATGTTCATGCCCCACCCGAGGATTCAGTAGCAATTTTTGCCCTTCCCTTCCCCACGAGCTGACTACTCAGCACAGCTGCTTATGTTGGTTTCCTCGCCTTCTTCTCTGTTCACCACCACTATTGAGCCTGGCTCAAGATAGACTCACTCACACCCACTCTGTGACTAATCCAGCCCACACATCTCTCCCCTCCCACCCCAACGCTGTTGTTGCAGGAGTATGGCAAGAATTCAGTGAGTGCCCAAGTGTAAGGTGCCTACTATGTGACAGATATGTCATAAAAGTTAGTTTCCATTCCCTTTCTGCTGCCTCTGCTACACTGTACTTCAATACCATCTGCCATCCGTACCATACTCTCAGTACTCAAGTGCCCAGCATTTCAAATCACTGTATTGATTACAGATAGGGTTGTGAGTTTTCATTCATCTCCCCAGGTACATTATAAATGTCTAGAGATCAGGAGCCGTCTTACACCTCTTCTTCACCACCAATGAGAAGACTCCAGGGCTGGACATGTGGCAGAAAGTCAGTATGTACTTGTTAACTTGACAGGACAGAGAAGAAATGAAAATGCCTATTCAGAAATATGATATAAATGACTCTTAAGAAAGGAGTGCTTTCCACTTCTTTATAGGCAAAAGAGAAATAAAAATGAACAAACAAAAGAAATAAAGAAGAGAAAAATTTAATTAAAAAAAGGAAAAAAAAAAAAAGAAAGGAGGGCTTAATTCTCTTCCCCATTTTTGTATACTTCATTGGGCTATTAGTATTTAATCTGAGAAGCAGGTTCTATGAGAGAGAGGGTAAATAATTTTTAGATTCCATGAAAGAGAGGAGTAAACACTTTTTTAAAACTCAGTTTCCAAGGCTTTAATCAATAAAATGAAGAGAAGAGATGGGACTTTTTCTTTTCTCTGGAAGTTGGACTTTGCCCATCCTCTACCTCCACCCCAGTCTAAAGATTATTAACGAACGTGATATTGCAGCATGCTAACCTCCGTCAACCATTAGCTCTGGACTCTCGGCCATCCTAGGGGGAAAGCAGGTTTCAAAGAACATGTTTATACTTGGGAATTCATGCTTAGAACAACTGTTTTTAAGCCACTCTTGAAGAAAATTCTCCAGGTAATTCTTAAATTAATCCATCAACTTTGCCCTCATTGCTACCACTGCGGTCTAAGAGCCCATCATCTCTTACCTGCGGTTCTAAAAAATGCTCCTTATCTTCTGGTTTCCAGTCTTGCTGCCTTCCAATCAATTATCCACTCAGCAGTAAGAAAGGTCTTTTGAAAACATAAAGAAAAACATGCATTTTCTATTTAAAACCCTCCTGTGACTTCTCATTCTTATAAAGTGAAATCCAAACTTTCCATGTGGCCGGAGGACCTGCAGGGTCTGGCCCCTCCCCGTCCTGCCCTCCTGTGCTTCCCACCTCCCTCACACCTACCTTGCTGATGTGCTGCTCCACCCTTCCCCATGCACACTGTCACCTACTTTGTTTCCCCAAGTCCCTGTTCAAATGTCTCCTCCTCTGAGGCCTTCTTGACACCCAAGCTAAAAAACATTCCCTGCCCTGCTTCTCATTGTTCTTCATCCCAACAGCCTATTTCCTTTCTAAGGCTTGTTGACATTTGTAATTAGTATTTTTTTTTTTTTTTTGAGATAAGGTCTTGCTCTGTCACATTGGCTAGAGTGCAGTGGCGTTATTGTAGCTCATTGCAACCTCAAACTCCTGGGCTCAAGCAATCCTCCTGTCTCAGCCTCCCAACTAGCTGGGACTATATGTGCCCAACAGCATGTCCAGCTGATTTTTCTATTTTTTGTAGAGACAGGGCCTTGCTCTTGCTCAAGCTGGCCTTGAACTCCTAGATGGAAGGAATCCTCCCGCCTGAGCCTCCCAAAGTGTAAGATTACAGGTGTGAGCCACCACACCCAGCCTGTAATTAGTATTTATTTATTCTTTTATTTGTCTATTGTGTATCTCTTCCACTGGACTATAAGCTCCATGAGGTGGTACCATACAAACAGGCTAATAAGTAGGTGTTTGAAAGTTTTTAAAGTGACTCGGTGAAGTGGTAGCAATTAAGAACTAGCCTGGTTTTGTCGAAGACAGACTGAAGAGAAGTTTAATAAAGAGACATTAATGGCAGGGCATGATAGCTCACACCTGTAATCCTAGCACTGTGGGAGGCCTAGGCGGGCAGATTGCTCAAGGTCAGGAGTTTGAAACCAGCCTGAGCAAGAGCGAGATCCCGTCTCTACTATAAATAGAAAGAAATTACCATGGCATCAGCCTAGCTCACAGCAACCTCAAACTCCTGGGCTCAAGCGATCCTCCTGCCTCAGCCTCCCAAGTAGCTGGGACTACAGGCATGCACCACCATGCCCGGCTAATTTTTTCTATGTGTTTTCAGTTGACCAATTCATTTCTTTTTATTTTTAGTAGAGACGGGGTCTCCTCTTGCTCAGGCTGGTTTCAAACTCCTGACCTTGAGAGATCCTCTTGCCTCGGCCTCCCAGAGTGCTAGGATTACAGGCTCAAGTGATCCTCCTGCCTCAGCCTCCCAAGTAGCTGGGACTACAGGCATGCACCACCATGCCCGGCTAATTTTTTCTATGTGTTTTCAGTTGACCAATTAATTTCTTTCTATTTTAGTAGAGACAGGGGTCCCCGCTCTTGCTCAGGCTGGTTTCAAACTCCTGACCTTGAGAGATCCTCTTGCCTCGGCCTCCCAGAGTGCTAGGATTACAGGCGTGAGCCACCGCACCCAGCTCTATTTCCTCTTTGTTAATGATGGAAGTTTCAGCTGGTCACACGGTTTTCCTGGTAAAGATAACACTTCCCAACACCTCTTGCAACCAGGGGTGATCATGTAATTAGTCTCTGGCCAATGGGATGTGAGCAGATGTGATGTGTGCAACTTCTCTGTCTGGCCCCTACTTCCCCTTCTCACCTTCTTGAGGGCTGGAACATGGGCTGGATGAGCCATCTGCAGCACATGCAGACAAGGGCAACCCCCTGAGGATAGCAGAGAAATGAGATGAAAGGAGTAAGAGCCACCCTAACAGTCATAAACCCTGTTCCTGTGGACTATAATATGAGAGAAAAAATAAATATCTATCTTTTTAAAATTCACGATTATTTATTTTGGTCTCTTAAGGCAGCCAGACAGAAATCCCAACTAATGTACTGGGATTATCCAAGGTTATTTTATATCTCAACCCGTCTGCTATGTTCCAATTTGTCAGCCCTGGGGCACAGGCAGACCTTGGTATGCATTTCAGAGTTAGAGCACAAAATGGCATCACCCATAATGGGTGGTTCAAACAGCTATGAGTCTCCTGGATGGGCCAGGAATTCTGAAACTCAGCTGTCTAATACAAAGGAGATCACTGTTACAGGCTCAAGCTCCGCCAGAAACACACTAGAGAGCTCAACAAAGTATATGATCCTGTTCCCTATTTGTAAGGAGATGGCCAACAATGTACCAAAAACAAGTCTTGTTGAAAGAAACCAATAGTTCTTAGGCATTCAATAAAAATCCAAGACTCACAACACAATGAAATGAGTATACCTGTCCAGCTGTAGCATCTCAGGGAGGGCTGAGACATCAACAGAAAGTCTGGTTGTTACTCCCTGCTGGCCAGTCCCCATCCAATCAATCAGTCAGTCACTAGTCTCCCAGGTGACCATAGGAGCAGACCTGATCCACTGCCTTCTCCAAACCCATCCAGATACTCAGCAGAACTTGTGGACTTGGTAGATAGAGAAGCCAGGAAGCTTTGAAGCCTCTGCCCTTATATTTGTTTCAAGGAAGCAAGTAACATATTTGGATAAAGTGTGGCTGGAATAAGCTAATAAATGGCAATGACACCAAGCCTTAGCAATTAGACACAATAAGGAGTGGTAGGGACTATGGCAAACACAAGAGCTCGGATTTCATCTAAAATAGGAAGTTACTGTTCCCCTCTTCCACCCACCAAGCCAGGTCCTTTCATAGAGGAAGGCAGGCATATTTAGTATGAGATGTCTGAAATTTCATGTGAAAGTTTCTGATTTTAATTGTTAAGATTAGTCCAAATTTAAACATATTACCATGTGGACAAACAACCAAAACAAAACAAAAATGGGCTGTCGTTTTGCCACCTTTGGCTGACAACGTTCCCAAATCAAGGTGTGCCTACTCCACTGGGTTAAGAATATTAGGATACAGTCCGAGCGCTGTGGCTCACGCCTGTAATCCTAGCACTCTGGGAGGCCAAGGCGGGCGGATTGCTCAAGGTCAGGAGTTCGAAACCAGCCTGAGCAAGAGCGAGACACCGTCTCTACCATAAAAATAGAAACAAACTAATTGGCCAACTAATATATATAGAAAAAATTAGCTGGGCATGGGGGCACATGCCTGTAATCCCAGCTACTCGGGAGGCTGAGGCAGCAGGATTGCTTAAAGCCCAGGAGATTGAGGTTGCTGTGAGCTAGGCTGACACCACGGCATTCACTCTAGCCTGGACAACAAAAGCGAGACTGTCTCAAAAAAAAAAGAAAAAAGAATATTAGGATCTGGCGCTTTGCACCTTTACCCACACTGAATCTGAACTACAGGGGCTGCAAGGGGGCAGTATTGTCGTTTTTAAGCTAATTTACTACTACTACAGTGAATTGTGCTTTGCCCCAGTTCTGCTATTCCTTCAACCCTTCTCTAATTTGTGTATCTGTCACCCAAAGGGCTACCTGTCTGGGTTGGCCAGACTCCCCCAGTCACATCTTGGTTTACCCCATTAGGTTTCCTACCAACTAGGAAATAAAATGTTTATTATTTTATCACAGAAAATTGCCATTTTCCCTCTCAGAAAGACAGTCTCATCTGTGTAAAAACATGGAGGGTGATTAGGCTCAGACTGATGCCAAGTGACTGGAACAGCATCTGGAAACTCGTAGCCGCCGGCCAGTTGCTGTGAATTGGCTGTGAGCACAGTCAGGCTGTGCCCTGTTTCTTTGTGATCCTGTGAGCAGCATTTCTCTTGCCCTTGCCTAATCTGTCTGGTCCTGAAAGGCTCTCACACTGAAGCAGGTTCATCATCTAGGGAGCATCTGACTCTCCAGGGGAAATATTCCTGGCTGCCAGGGTAGTTTGTTACAAGGAGCTGGAGCATCTCCTTATTGAGAAAGCTATACGACCTCATCTTTGCTACCTGATCTTCTGTTTGCTTATTGTCCTACCTCTGGTGGCACACAAACCTCTTCCACCTCCACTCCCACTCCCAACATACCTACATGCTAGAATATAAACTGCACAAGGGCGGGGAGACCTGTCTTGTCAACTGCAGGGTATCTCCCATCCCTTGAGCAGTACCTGGCACATGGCAGGTGCTGAATGTTGTGAGCTGGTTAAGAGCCTCGCTCATGTGAGCTGGCTCAAGAGTGGTCTTGCTTCAAGGTGTCAAGGGTGGGACCAGACACCTCACTGACATTCCCTCAGCACTGAGATTCTGGGAGTCTAACTGGAGAGAATCCCACAAGCCCCTGTCAGTCTGAGCCAGCAGCTGCTTTGCAGAAGGAAAAAAATAAAGTTGCCAGGCAGATGGGGTGGGGGAGGGGTGGGAAGTCGGGTGAGCAGCAAGAGCATCTCAGAAGATGAAGGGAGTCATTGCTAATGGGGCGTGACGGGAGGGAGGGGTGTAAAGGATCATAGCCACAGCGATGCCTTTTTCCCCAGGACAAAAGGGGCAGTGATGCAGAGCGCAGGGAGGGGCAGCATTTGATTTGGCCAAAAGAGTGGTCAGCACGGCATGGCGTGGTTGCCCAGGAAGGAGATGCATCCTCTAGGGGCCAGAATTAAAATCTGAAAACAAAGGGCTTCTGCACAGAACTACTGGTCATGCCTTTTGGGGTTAGGGCTTTCAAGCCCTGATTGAGGTCAGAGGCAGAGGCTAAGGGACCATACCTGCTTATTTTTAACAAAAGATCACTTGAAGAGTGATGTCTCTTAGTTTCTACCTGGATTGTGAAAAACAGCTTTCTGACAATTCATCCTGCAACTTGCTTGCAACTGAGGAATGGCCCTTGTCATCCTCAGTAGGCATAAGTGGCTCACAGTCCCTAGTCACCTTTTCACTGCATGACATCAGAAAGCCCCTCTCACTCCACTCAGCAGCCACATAGAGGCTTTGGTACAGCCAGGCCACACTGCCCCTCCCTGGCAGATCTCTGAGAGTCTATAGGTCCAGACCTGGTCACGAACCATGTTAAATTATATTTTTGATAAAATTATCTTTCAAAGGAATTTAAAGTGTCCCCACTCTCAAGAAGGAAAGTCTGGAATTTTCTGGAATAAGATATCCCTAAGAACTAAGTCAATATTTCTTGTCCTGTTTAAAAGAAAATACTTTGCCATTTGCATCAAACCACCAGAAATTATATTTTTCTGTAACAATACTTTGAAATTTCCTATTTGAATTTACTTTGTTTTAAAGGAGATGACAATATTGTAATTTTTTAAAAATCTGGTCATAAATACATAACCAACTAAGTTGTAGAGGTAGGTGATTCCTCAGTAAACTATCTAGCAAATAGGAACCAGAAGAGATTTCTTCCTTTCTTTAATGAGTATAGATTGGAATCTATAAGCAACACAGAGGAAGAAGTGTTTCTAAAAGGAGGTCAGAGAAGGGGAACCGAGGAACAGAGAGGAAGGGTAGCTGTCTAACAAGAACTGCAACCTTGCCAGTGGGTGGCACCGTTGGAGGAAGTGATGTCTGGTTCCACTCCCAACCAGACCCATTTCCAATCAGCTCTGTGAATTCACGGTGGTAGACCCAACAAAGGAATAATAGCATTTGTTTGCTTTTACATTATTTTAATACTCGGCAATGGAAAATACAACACTCTGACAACAGACTTAAAAATAGCATCCTGCCTTCATTGATAAGACCACTGCACCTGACACATTCCGCCAAGTTCTTAAGGTGAAGAAGTCTCAGTGGGCCAGTCCAGGTGTAATGTCATTCTGGTGGGTTGACAGAGGAAGCAAGATGAAAAATAGGAGCAGATCAGAATAATAAATCACCATTACTGGGCACCAAAACATGGAAGAGAAATGTCCCCCATCCTCGGCAGGCTTGCCCTCTCGCATAAGGAATGAACTAGGATATCAAACACACACACCTATGGATGTGTCTTGCAGGAAGCAGGCACCCTTCAATGAGAGATCTCTTCTGGACTTGTTTTGCAGCCGTTGAAATGAATCAGATCTCAAATCTGATAAAGCTTGTTTTTTCCCCTTTATTCTTCAGTGAGGAGCAAGAGGTGAGGTGGAGGTGGGCCCTAGTTTATTTTTTAAATCATCTTTTCCGTTGGTTCTGTGGATAACTGCAACTGTGCCTCCTCTTCCCCCTCACTCCCTTCCCCAGGCTCCCTCCCGGAGTATGAAAGGATCTGGAAGCCGGATTTCTTCCCCTCGGCTAAGCTTGCCCCTTGTCCCCTGCCCAGCCAGCGGCAGGCAGCAGCTGGGGCCCGGCATCTCCCGACAAGCGACGCGGGTGGGCGCAGCGAGGGCGCAGAGCTGCAGCCTTTTTCCAGATGCACCGGAGATTCAACCTTAATTAACTGTGAGAGCGATAGCCCCGAGGATTGAATTTTCAAAATAGAGCACACCCCCGCTTTCATTTTCTTTTTTTGCATTTCCCTAAACCTCTCTCAATGACATCGAAATAAAGAGAAAGAAGAAGAACGAGGATGCTCACCCACACGTGCCCGGGACGGATGCAGGCGGAGGATGCGGCCGCGGGGAGCGGTCCTGCCCTGGGAGGATGCGGAGCAGCCGCGGCGCGCGGGCGGGGCCGGGGCGGGCCCGGGGCGGGGCCTGGGGATCACGTGGGCACAGGCGCGCTTAACCCCGCCCACCTCTGGGCGCCGGGTGACCTGGACTGGCCTGCGCCGGGGACACTCGTCTCTCCGCGGCAGCCATGGCCTCCTGGAGCAAGGGCACTAGTTGCCTGGCGGCCTCCTTGCTACAGAACCAAGTGGCCATCGTCACCGGCGGGGCCACGGGGATAGGAAAGGCCATCGCGAAGGAGCTCCTGCAGTTGGGTACGTGAGCAGGCCCCTGGCCAAGGTGTCCAGAGCTAGGGGTCCGTAGAGACAGGGCTAGGGTCACCTGGCGTCGGGAGCGTGGAGTTGCAGAGCCTAGGGGACGTAGATGTGGGCGAAAGTGTAGCACTGCCACGAGAGGGCGAGAAGAGAGCGGTTCTTCCTGAAACGGTGTGGGGCCACTCCTTTATAAACAGGGAACACTTAGAGCTAATTTCCCATGCCCGAGGCAGACAATAGGTAGATCTGCGAAAACACGTGCTGAAATTAATTTTATGTTCATATTTGAAATTAGTCCATTCTATGTATTGCCTAATCTGAGTGATTGGAAAACATGAGAATGTAACATATTGAAGATGTAAGCATATTGAGACACTCTCATCATACTGTCTTCTCACATCTCTTAATCATAACCACAGCAAGAACATACAGTGACTATTTACCTTGACTTGGGTGAAGGAAGGCCCTTCCAAACACATAATGGAGGGAAGAAACCACAAAGGGGAAAATAGATAAAGTTATCTATTTGAAGATGTAAATATACATATGAAGATGTAAATCTTCATTGAATTAAAAAACAATGTAAGTTTAAAGGCATATGAAGAAAAATGTTTACAGCAGAAGACAAATAGTCGTATAAGGTACTCTTACAAATGAATGAAGACCCAACTTACTAATAGAAAAATAGGCTAATGATATGGACTAAGCCTTCCAAAAGAAGAACTCCAGACATGCAAAAAGTATATGAGAAAATAATCAACTTTAATGATAATAAAATGCAAAATAAAACAATAAGATGCCATTGTTTGTCTAACAAAATTTTGAAACATTTGGAAAAATGAAAATGTTGCTGAGGGAGTGAGAAGGCAGGCAAGAATGTAAATTATTACAACCTTTCTGGAGGGCAATTTGGAAAATAAGATCTGAAGCCTTTACAATGTTCATGCTCTATGACTTGGTAATTCCTTTCCTAGGAAATTACTTTAAGGAAGTAAGCAAAGACAAGCAAAGATTTGTATACCAGGATGTAATCATATATGCGTAATGAAAACTAGAAATAATCTATCCATTATGAGAGAAACAGATAAATCAATAACAATGAAATATTATGCTGCTGTTTATCCTGCTTTTGAAGATTTTATGTGGAGAAATACCACATATAATTGGAAAAAGCAGGATTCTATGCAAAATAGCATTCCAATTTGTTAATGAAAATATATATATGCAGAAAAAGAATGGACATTTACAACATTGTTAGCAATTCTTTTTTCTAAAAACAGTTTTAATTATGAATGATGAAGGAGCTTAGAGAATTTCACTTCAAAATAAGACTCCATGATATAAAGAGTATTTTGAATTAAAGGCCCTTAGAGATCCACTGGTGTTGGTAGGGGCTTTCCCTCTGTCTCCATAAAGACTGGAGGGACCCATCCAGAAGAACAATTCTCTTTCCAGACTCCTTCCTGTTATCTCAATTTCTATTGCGGCAAAGAAGATTAAAAATGCAACCAGCCCTGCCCAATGCATTTAAAAAATAATGCCTATCTCTCGGGTTAATTTAATTTCCAAAGAGTAGCATTTACAAGTCAATCTGCTTCCCTCATCCATTCATTCTCCCAAGTTTCTACTCATTCTCCCTAGTAATGATTTATTGCCCCTCAACAGAATTACCTATATTCCTCATCTCCCTGCTTCCCTCTAAAATGAGGGTATACAAGCTTCTGAACCCCATTGGGATATTGGGCAACCACTATGTGATTCTCCCTGTGCACAAGGTAAAAAAATATGTGATTCCTTTCTCTGGTTAGTCTGCCTTATTGTGAGTTGATCTCTCAGTGAACCTTCCGAGGACAAAGGGAAAGTTTTCCTTTCTCCCCAACAGTGGTTAAACTTGTCTTCGTCTTTCAATTTTAAAATGAACATGTAAATTGCCTTTGGTACCATTGTGTTTCCAAGATCTGGCATAGTATGAACTAAAAAAAAAAAGTGTTATATTAGAAAAAAAAGAAATGCTATATATTTTTATTTTAAAAAATGGGAAAATAACATTAGCCAGCTGAACCATGGTATAGCCTCATCACCATTAATAACCACTCCACTTCCAATACCAAACTCTATCCCCTCTTAGGAAAATCCATAATAAAATCAGAATTGTTTATCATTTAATCCAAGGTCAGGTGCTAGGCTTCCCAGCATATTTGTTAGGATCCTAGTTTACCTTATAGGATCCTTAATGGGTTTTCAGATATTTCAGTGTTCTCTATTTGTTAAGTTCAAATTGGCCAAACACTGTGTATCACCTGGAGTAAGGTGGCAGACTTTATTTTTATTATCAGAGACTGAAACAAGGACAGTGATCTTGTAATCTTTTGGAAGCCATGGTTCCCTCTGAGATTCTGATGAAAGCAATGGAGCCTCTCCCTAGAAAAAGATGCTATCTATATACTTAGAAAAAGTATATACATAATTTTGTTGTTGTTGTTGTACTGAAAATGGATTTCCCCAGTGAAAGAATATAAAATAGTTTTTACTATGACATTCACATCTTTATTTTTTAATGCCACAATTAATGGCTATTTTCTGAAAATTGTTACATATTACTTATTGGGCAAATAAAATAATATTAATAGTAGCCAATTCTTTGTCCAGTGAGAAGGCCACTGTTTTTTGGTGTGAAATACAACTTGAATTTTAAGGCATGGTTTTTAAAATGATGATTACTGTGTTGTTTTTCACATCCAAATGATCTTGACTTTTCCTTTTGCTGAGAGGACACAAAAAGTCCTAGCTCTCAGGAGTAGGATGTAGCAGGCAGAACTGGATCCCCTTTGTACATTTGACAGATGCCTTTAGGCACAGGGAGTCTTGATTTCATCAAGGAATACTGAAGACCATTCAAATTGAATTCATGTCAGATCCTTTTCTTTCTCTAATCTTTCGCTTTCTGTTACCACAGCAGAACGTACAGATAAAATGCAAGTGGAAATGTGAGACAAGACAGCATTTTTTCTTGCTCTACTGACTGGTCTGTAACCAACACCAGGGACTTAAAAGGTGCTTAATAAACGTAGTATTATCAGTTAAAGATTGAAAGCAATCAGTATCAGCCCAAACAAGAATGCAACACACTGGGTTGCAAGCCCCTGATGTGGAAATAACTCCTTATCCATAAGCTATTTCTGTACTTTACTCTAACCAGGTCCATCAAGCTTCCTGAATTTCTCTACCTACTCATATAAACAAAAACAGTCTATCCAAATCATTTAGCGTAATGAAGAGAAGGATTATATCTAACAGTTTTCTAGTTTATTATGAGGCGGCATAAGAGGTCTGTAATAGATTTAAATGTTATAGAAGTATATAAAAGCAAAAATGAACTTTTCCCATTCTGTTCTTTTCCTAAATCCCTTCCTGGCAATTTTCTATGAATCTACTAATGTGCACTCATATACACACCTGTGTGTATTTTATTATTTACAAAAGTGGGATCACAGTATTCTTATTGCTCTGTAACTTTTTTGGCTTGAGATATCTTGTATTTCTCAATGGTAGTACCTGTAGTTGTTACCTGTAGTTGTTACCAACCAGGTTCATATGCCCAGTGCTCAAGAGGAAGCCAATTCACTTAGACCAGCAGGGTCTATAAGGCAGAGACAGAGTTTATTCTGCATAGCGCCATGCAGGGAGATGGGAGAAATTTCTCAAATCCACCTCCACAAGAATTTGGCAGAAGGGGATTTAAAGACAGTTTGGTGTAGGCAATTGAGTCTGCTAATTGGCTGGGTTTGGGGTGGAACCGTAGGGTTGTAGCAATTGTCTTCTTTGCTGACCAGGTTCTTGAGTGGCGGTCACAAGTCCAGTTGAGTCAGTTCCTTGGTATGGGCCTCTGGTCTGGGTGGGTCAGCCGTTCTGCTGGAATGCAGGACCTGGAAGATATTTCAGAAACTACCCCTAGGTTTCAAAAAGGTCATATTATTTATGGAGAAAGCTAAGAATCTTTGCGACCACCAGTTATGTGCCTCCAGAGTGGCAATTATAGAGAAGTAAACAGGGGGATGGTGGCTAATTGTTATCATTATTTTTAGGTAGGCCTGTGCCTTATTTTTAGCCAGGCCCTTACCACAGTTCTTGCCTTGCACCCCTTTTTATTAATTTGTAAGGATGGTCTCATAGTAGTAGCTCATTCATTTCAAAGTTGTCTAGTATTCCCTTGTATGGATAGGTAACAACTTATTTAACCACTTCCTAATGGACATTTAGGTTTCTAGTGCTTTACCCACTATTGTGGTCTTTTTCCCCTATAAAAACTTTGCACCCCAGTTCAGTTTGTATGTAGTGAAAAGTCCTAGAAATTAAATAGTCTGGGCCAGGCGCGGTGGCTCGTGCCTGTAATCCTAGCTCTCTGGGAGGCCGAGGTGGGCGGATTGCTCAAGGTCAGGAGTTCTAAACTAGCCTGAGCAAGAGCAAGACTCCGTCTCTACTAAAAATAGAAAGAAATTAATTGGCCAACTAATATATATAGAAACAATTAGCCGGGCATGGTGGCGCATGCCTGTAGTCCTAGCTACTTGAGAGGCTGAGGCAGAAGGATTGCTTGAGCCCAGGAG